CCTCCATCTCTTTGTGTCCAGGCAAAAAATATATCCGCATGAAACTCAAGAGGCCAAGTGGGGGCCATTTTATAGGAGTAGGGGGACAACAAAGCTCCTTTAAAAAACTAATTTGGTTTTCTTTTGAAGCTTTAAATGTGTAAACTGGATCACTTAAGGTTCAGCAAAAAAAAAGACTGGTTTGATTTTCATTTTAAATGAGCATGTGACAGCTTAATCATAGGTTTCAGTAACAAACATTATTCTCAAAACTACTACTGCTGTAAGTGGAAAAATGCAGGACAGCTTGACTAATTTGAAAATATGATTTGATTATAAGTTAAATCCACACATTTATGTTAAGTAATTGCTGGGCTGACCTGCAAGCTGCAATAAGCCGACAATACACACCACCAATTTGAGTCAGTTGATGATAAAATACACCTAGAGGCAAATCCCTTCCACTGTGATTGACTGGTTGACGTTTATAAGTACATTCATTAGTCTAAAAGCCTTAAATGAGTGGTACTGTTGTAGCTTGGTTGAAGCAATGGATATAATGTGGAAACAGTTAGATAAAAGTACGATGAAGGGTAAAAATAAGTAGCTAGACATAACCGATAGCTAATATGGTTGAATTACTTGGCTAAAGGTTATGGAACAATGTAAACACATATGGATAAATCAACACAAAAAACAGTATTGGCTAAAAGTAATGGATAAACAGATTAAACTGTTAGCTTGAATAACTGGGTAAATTATGAAATGGTTGGTTAGAAGTAAGATAAATTGTTGAAACATGAACAAGATTACTTATATAAACAGTTGACATTTTAAGCTAAGGGTAATGGATAAATGGTTGAAAATGCTAGCTGAAAGTAACAGCTTAATGTAACTGATAAAGGGGTGAAACCTAACAGTAACCAGAGCTAAAAGCAATGAAAACATATACATGAAATAGTTAGCTAACTGCAAGAGATACACATGGGAAACAGTTAGCTGAAAGCAACGAATAGGTGTTGGGAACACTGGGCTAAAGGTAATGGCTAAATGGCTAAAAGTGTTAGCATAGCAATGAATAAACAGTTGAAACAACAACCTTAAAAGTAGGCTACTTGATAAATGGGTCAAAATATTTCCTTAAAAGTAATCATTAGCTAGAGGTAACATAAATTATTTCACTGCTAGCTAAAAGTAACGGAAACACCGTTTTAACAGTTAGCTTAAGGTGATGGAGAAATGGTTGGAATTGTAACAGGGTGAACATTTAGAACGAAAAACTGTAAAAGTTCTAAAATTCCAAGTGGTCGTAAAACGCTATACTATGCCAACCCAGTCTCATTGCATTTCGTGTTCACCAACACGATTTTTAATCTATTGATTCGTGTTCACCAACACGATTTCCCCCTTTTTTTCGTGTTGCACAGCACGATTTTAAAAGCAATGTATTTCTACTGGTAATGTGTTTCGTGCCTGCAGCACGTCTTTTTCTCCGGTCGGGTCGTGGAAGACTGGAAGCTGTGTGGTTCATAAAAACATGTTCTTACTCAATATCAAGCCACAATTATTGCTTTTATTTTAAATCGTATAATTTCGGACTTTTGTTGCCGTCTGTGAGGAAAATAAATGGGGCTCAGAGCCTCAGAATACTGAAATCTGTATTTTTTAAATCTTTTTTCCTTCTAATTTGTTATTCTTTTGAAAATAACACACTGTTATATACTCACCAATAACACACAATTATCCTTGCTTTTATTTATTGGTTTAATTCCATAATCTCGGGCTTTTTTGGCGTCCATCAGGAACTGAATTTCAAAATAAAAATAACCGGAAACAGACGTAGGCCTCTCGGAGTTTAGGATGGCCGAAGACACTACACTACCCATAATCCCCAGCTATCGTTTAGGACTACAGTCCCCGTGATTAATCTTCAAGCACTGGGATTGGATGTTGGAGTGGCAGTGCGCCAAGGTTACGCCAACCGTCAAACAGCTGTTTGAAATGGAACGAAACCACGCCAGACTATCCAAAACTGAAATCCAACGCCCCCCCAGAACTACACACGCTGGCTATTGTGTTCCACAAAATGTTCTATGGGACGTCTCTACTGAACGTTTTCGTTTTTCCCACAATTAGAAGTTGCCAGTATTAAACACATTGGTGTTATCAAATGTAAAACATATCATTAATAAATGGGTGAAAATCGCTTGTGTCCATATGCGCAGCATTAATACCCACATGACAGCTCATTGATACTTTGTAATTCTACTCCACTACAATTCAGAGGTTAACCTGTTTTTTTTACTACACTACACTTATTTGAGTTACTTTGCAAATTCTGATTAATGATGTGAAATATAAACAACCCTTAAATCAGACTTTAGTTACACCTGAGTAAAATTCAGGGAAGGTGATTGTCAAGTGCCAACAATCAGGAGAGATATTTGATAGTTGGTGCTTGAGAAGACTAAACATGTATCTGCAATTGACATGAATGGAAACGAGTAATAAAGTATATTTATTACTCGTTATTCTCTACTAATAGTTAATTAAAGACTGTATATTATGGCTATTTTGCACATCCCTTTCAAGATTTCAAGATTTTCAAAGGTTTATTGACATATCATATATCATATACACGGTGTATGCAATGAATGAAAATATTGGGTCACAGGTTCCTCAACAGCGCATTACAAGACATCTATCAATATGTGTGTATACCTCCACCATTAAACTGTCATATTCTGCACATTTCTTATACTATCTGCATACATAAGAATATAATTCATATGTATAATATCAGTTAAAATAAGTGCTTCAACATAGTTAACATTGCAGGAAAGCAATATGTTAGACGTTAAGTACTTTGTTAGGCTTAATATTTATCTGTAGATAGATACCCCCAAAGTTTTTTTCTTATTTAAAAGAAGACCTTAATCTAAAGTATTATTTAATGTTTAAATAAAGGTTAATTAGTTTGTCTGTTTTGCACCTCCTCCTATTAATATCTTTGTACATCCTGCACTAAACTGTTTTATTGTAGAGATCACTTATAGTATCTTCTTGATTTTTTATATTCTATATTTCTATCAGACCTTCTACTTTCCCCCTATGAAAGTATGTACTCTTAATATTTTTTAATCAAATATAACACATAAAAACAATAATTCAATAACGTGCTTTAACCACTAGGCGGTGCACACAAGGTACACACAGCCATAATAACTTTGTATTATTAGTGTAGGACACTTATGTATGTATAACATCTGAAGATGTGTAGTTTTATTCATGCTTTCACATAATTTTACAGCATATTGCTATACTATTTCAGACTCAGTATTTACATTCTTATATTCAAAGAAAATCAGTAATATCTTTAAAAACTACAAGTCCTTTTATATCAGCTGTGCACCGTTATGGTGTAAATATAACCTATCTATGAATTAGATCAAATGTAAAAGTCAGCCGAATTAGTGTTGATACTGCAAGGAGACGTATTGTGTGAAGAGAAATTGAAGATGTCATTTAATTGTCGATATATTTATGATCCACGTCAAGTATTCAGTTTCGGCGGCATTTCTTCCAATTTCTCCAAAGGTCTTCTCATCAGGGCTCTATAAATAAAGAACTACGGCAGATCTGTAATATGTAATGCAGCCGAACCGTGTATTACAATGCCGTTATGTGATGACTTTCAAAGAGAAAAGCAAGAACACTCGGAATTAAGTATTCTTTTAAAATGTTTTCCGGATTTCATATCATATAAACACCAAATCCCAGCATGCATTGCGGCTAAAACGTCCAATCAGCGAGCTTAAACCATTGCTGAGGATCTTGGGTAATCGCCCGAAATGCCTACGTCTGTTTCCGGTTATTTTTATTTTGAAATTCAGTTCCTGACGGACGCCAAAAAAGCCCGAGATTATGGAATTAAACCAATAAATAAAAGCAAGGATAATTGTGTGTTATTGGTGAGTAAATAACATTGTTATTTTGAAAAGAATAACAAATTAGAAGGAAAAAAAGATTTAAAAATACAGATTTCAGTATCCTGAGGCTCCGAGCCCCATTTATTTTCCTCACAGACGACAAACAAAAGTCCGAAATTATACGATTTAAAATAAAAGCATTAATTGTGGCTTGATATTGAGTAAGAACATGTTTTTATGAACCACACAGCTTCCGGTCTCATCATGATGAATTGGAAATGGGGGACCCTGATGTAAAGAAGACGAAAGTCTTTCTCTGGTCTGCATCCCCTTAACAATTGTATGTTTTGAGCTGTACTGTACTGTACCCAATATACAAGCTGTTAATAAACTTTTCAATCAATCACGACCCGACCGGAGAAAAAGACGTGCTGCAGTCACGAAACACATTACCAGTAGAAATCAGTAGAAATCAGTAGAAATACATTGCTTTTAAAATCGTGCTGTGCAACACGAGGGGGGGGGGGGGGGGGCAATGATTATATGCAGGCAAACTGTAGAATACAACCTCTTTGGACAATTGATATACTTATTGAGAACAAGCTACAAAATGTAATACCTTGTAAAATGCCGTTTAATTATTTTTTAAGACCCCGCGGACACCCTGACTTGCCAAAAGGATCCAAATATTGACATTTTTGAATTAATCAATAACTTAGTGTTGGTCAACGTTCAGTCTAAAATACACAGAAAACAACATTCGGTAGTTTGGGTCAAGAGCTGCTTGATCGGTTTGGCTGCGAGTAAATAATCTAAAAAGGTTGGAAAATATTTGAAATCACAAACCCAAGAATGGATGCAAAACCGAAGCAGCATACAAAGTAAGGGTGCTCATTATACTGAATGCTGAAAGATGATCATATTTATGATGCAACAGTTTGACTTTCAAAATATTCCCCGGGCAGTTTTACCTAAAAAAGGGTTGCATCATAAATTACACGTTTTTAAATATAAACACATGAAGCCTTAAGAACAGAGATATGCAGCATTATCAGGTCATGGGTGTTGAAATAAAAAACAACTCAGGTTAGCTGTTTTGTACATCATCATGTCTTTATTTATGTGTAAACAAAGTCTGAAAAGAGCATCAGCCAGGTTGATTTTTGGCATTAACATGATGGATATCTTTAGCAGTCATGGATAAAACACGATCACTCCACTGCAAAAAGAAGGTCGTCTTAAACAAGTCATGACAAGTCTGTCCTTCAATCTTATTTTTGACCTCCAATCAAGATCTTAAAATGTAAAGCACTGACCATAACTTGAAACCTGCTCACTGTAGTGATTTCAAAAAGGGAAAAACAAGTGTCCTTGGTCTAGTCTTGAATAGAAACTCACACTGTTTCTACAATAAATACGATTTTAGGACTTGACTAACGACTTATTTGTGGCCTTTTTTTGCAGCGTGTATAATAAATAACATGACACTTCCATATGAACTGTTTGCGACCTCAGTTCAGTCTAGCACGGTAACTTTTCTCATCTTACTTGGTGGATGCAGTGTTTCTCACTACTGTATAAGGTGCTGAGTGGGTGTGTGTGTTTGTGTGTGAGAGAGAGAGATAGAAATGTCATAGCTTTGGGGATGTGATTCAGTCATAATGTCTTTCGTTGGTGCGAGTATGTTGATGCGTTTTGGACACTGTCCAGAGGCTTATTAGGTTAGTAGTTCATTAAAATCATTAAATATGTAACAGGTGAAGAGTTGCAAAAATAACCTTCTTAAAAACAACAGATAAACGTCTGAAGCAATCACAGCATTAGTGTTAAATTCAGAGTGCAACATAATTCGCTTAGTCACTTCCATTGTACATAAACAACAAATATATTTACAATCAAAAAACATAATTCATAGCAAAGGAAATGTTACCACATTCAGAACCACAGACACATAAGTCATTGTGAGAATGTAAAGTGTTGTGTGTGTTTATGTTACTATTGTGACTGGCATTAGGCGGTCGGTAGAGCTCGCTTTACAGATTTATTCCACTGGCCTTAAAGTGGAAGCTGAAACCAACCAAGCCCGGAACAGCCTCCATCTTCAATGACAGAAACTGGACACATTTTCACCATAAATGGTCCAGAACGTAACAAAAATGGTGCATACATGCCGATTGGTTAATTGAGCTCTGATGCAGTTAGCTCTCAACCAAAAAAAAAAAGGGTTTCAATCAGGCGCTATTAAAGCCTGAGGTTCAGTATCTATCTCCGTTTTTTGCTTTTGCTTTTCAGCTGGCAAAACATAGACAGGTCATTACAATTCAGCTTTTTCCTTTTCAAAGACAAGTGGTGTGTTTGAAAGCATAACAGCTCAGAACAAGGAGTCTGAAAACACACGTTATACTGCACAGGGTTTTGCAGGTATAAGGAGACTGATATCAATGCTGTGAAGGATTTGCTCTTCAGGATTCTTTCGTATCATATTTTGGTCTGTTTCAGAAAGAAGATCAAATCATCCCAGGACAAAACATGGAGATGGAGATAAAAGAAACTGTCTTTAAAAATGTGAGGGATGATGGAGCCACATTTTGGATGATAATAATAATAATAATAATAATAATAATAATAGGAGATTGAAGTTGGTATTATGGTAACAAAAATAGATTTTTAAAAAGAGCTGTAGTTACACTCCTACAGAACCCAAAGAAAAGCTGCATGTATGTCACCGTTTCCTTGACTGAGATAAGGACGAACAAACCGTTAGCAGGTCTGTCTTTGAAGAGAGCGGCTGGGACACCTTTTAAAATCTGATTTGTCGTAACTCTAGAACAGCATCCTCCTTTTGTTGTGTGCCAGAATGCATTTATGTGGCCGTGTATGTATGCATGTATGAGTGTGTGTGTTTAGGTGTGTGTTGAATCCTTCTACCACACCTCCTTTTAAGGCTTTTCAAGCTGCTTTGGATCAAAGTCAGTCCCAGCGGGGTAATTCAGCAGAAACACTGAGTTCAAAAACATCACAGCCTACCTGCACGTTTTCAGACACATTTCAACACCGACTCGATCCTATTGCTTCACAAAAGGGGGGGCTGATGCCCCTCCAGCCACACTGCTTCTACTGGCATTGAAATGTTAGCTTCAACTGACTTCATCGCCGCGTTCACAAATCATTTGTTTCTGCTTAGAAAATGTTAAATGCTCTGATACTAAACCTAATGTCAAATTAGGATTGGAGAGGGAGCGCCCCCCTTTAAACACAAAGGGGAAATGTTCACGTCTAAGAGTTGGCTTTAAGCCCTCGTCTTAGAGAGAGAGCAACTGATGTGCCACAGATTGAAGCTAAAATGTATAAACAGCGCAGAGGGGGGCGGAGAGAGAGGAAGAGAGATTGTTATAGTTTGTTATAAGGTTAAAATGAAACCCACACTGGCCACGAGATTAGAACAGATAAACAGCACATTAGGCTACACGCATCATCATAATTACCGATAGATAAGCCACCGCCGTCCAGTTTTAGAAACGCATCGGATTGAAAGGGAAGGGACAGGAGGAGGAGAACTTTCTGGATTTAAATAAATATTTGCGTGTTTTTGGATTCTTTAAAGCCGTCTTTTTCCTCCTGCCTGGCGGGGTTTGATGGGAGAGGAGAGGAAGGGTCGGAGGGGGCTCTATGTGAAGTTCTGGAGGGGCTGGCTGACCCTCATGCAGGACCAATAGAAAGCCCGAACCAGGGTGACGAGGACCAGCAGCAGCATCACGGCCCAGGAGGCGTAGATCCCCTGGTAGCTCTGAGCCTGAGCCCACGTCCCCGCCTGAGGAGAGCAAAGAGAAGGATGAAAGGAATAGCAACAGGTTAGAAAAGTGTCAGAGTAACTATAATTGTACGGGAAGACTAGGGGTCGAGGAATGTGACAATTTGGGATATTGCCAAATATTACATGTCACTTGTTGGACGCTTTTATCCAAAGCGACTTACATACGGGTGGGCAATCCCCACAGGAGCACTTTGGGGTGAAGTGTCTCAGGGACACAACGACATGCTGACTGCTGAGGGGTTTGAACCTGTGCTCCTGATCCCAACACCAACGCACTATGCCACTGCGCCACACGCCTCCAAATATCTGCAACAAACTCCCAGAAACCTGCAGGTCCGCTGCAACTCTGACTACTTTTAAATCCAGACTAAAGACTTTCTTTTTGTCGCTGCTTTTAAATGAACTATTCACATCTTAGACTGCACCGTAACTGTTATTCATGTTTTATTATCTTTGCCTTTTAAAGTTTCTAATGTGTTTTATGCTCTTAATGTCTGTCTTTCTTGTAAAGCACTTTGAATTGCCTTATGTTGAAAAGTGCTATATAAATAAACTTGCAACACACAGAGGAAGTTAGAGAACATCTGTTATAATAATAATAATAATGACATTGGGGTTTTCTATTTTGTTGTGTTTTAAATAGGGCTGTCAAGTTAACGCGTTAATAACGCCACTAATGATTTGAACGTGCGATTAACGCAGGTGCATTTGTACTCGGCCCGCCCCGTAGTTTCAGAGCCCAAAGGCTTGACGTTGTTGTTGTTGTTGTTAGTTGGATGGTGGAAGATTCTAGCGAGAGATATGGATACAAAAAAAGGTGTTTTAAACAGCAAGCCAAGCACCCAGCTGATGCTGACAGCCCCGCTCGCTTGCTGCAGACCACGCTTGAAAGTTTGCCGGGGAGACGCCTGGACAACAACAGCGATAGCTAAATGGGGGGCTACAGCTCAACATTGTGGGGGACGAGGGGCTGCGTGAGATCATTCGGATCGCATCCAACGTGTCGACTGCACATCACAGCGCATTATTTTTGACCCACAGTGGGAACTTCAGTCGCTTTGACTGTTATGAAGACAGAGGAGCGGCATTTCGCCGTCAACTGTAAACAGGCTTGTCTGTTTGAGCAACTGGCTCAGTGCAGAGAAGTAGACAGGGGTTGGGGGGGGGGGGGGGGGGGGGGAGAGGGGGAGAGAGGAGGAGAGATGGAGAGAGGAGAGAGATGGAGGAGAGATGGAGAGAGATGGAGGGGAGAGAGAAGAGAGCGAGAGAGAGCGATAGAGAGAGATGTAGAGAGAGATGTAGAGAGAGATATAGAGAGAGATAGAGAGAATAGAGAGAGAATAGAGAGAGAGAGAGAGAATAGAGATAATAGAGAGAGAGAGAGAGAGAGCGAGAGAGAGAGCGAGAGAGAGAGCGATAGAGAGAGAAAGAGAGAGAGAGAGAGAGAGAGAGAGAGAGAGAGAGAGAGAGATGAGAGAGAGAGCGAGAGAGATAGAGTGAGCGATAGAGAGAGCGAGAGAGAGAGAGAGAGAGACGAAGAGAGAGAGAGAGAAGAGAGCGAGAGAGCGATAGAGAGAGAGAGCGAGAGAGGAGGAGAGAGAGAGAGAGAGACGAGACAGAGATAGAGAGAGAGAGAGAGAGAGAGAGAGAGAGAAGAGAGAGAGAGAGAGAGAGAGAGTAGAGAGAGAGGTTCCCAGGTTGTTGAAATATTCAGGAGAATATTTGTCATTGTTCCAATGATAATAAACAAACATTTACATAAAGCATATTTGTCCACTCATATGTTGATAAGAGTATTAAAAACTTGAAAAATATTCCTCTAAGGTACATTTAGAACAGATCAAAAATGTGCCATTAATCGCGATTAACTATGGATTAAATATTTTAATCGACTGACAGCCCTAGTTTTAAAATGTCTTGTATCATGTATGAGGGTTTTCAGTCTGTTGCTATAAGGATGGTTTATTGTCTCGTGCTTTTACATTAGTTTCCTTTTGTCCTATCGGTTTTGTCTAAATGTATTTATGCTGCTTTTTTATATACTTATTGATGTACAGCACTTTGGTCAACTCTGTTGTTTTTAAAATGTGCTATATAAACACAATTGGATTGGATTTATCCAAAGCGCCTTACAATCAGTGCAACACCCATGAAGATGATAACTCCGAACAACAAGGAAACCGCAGATATATTGACTCCAAGCAAGTCCTACTGCTGGGGAATTAGTAACAAGCCCTCAATTCACTTTTTTAACTGCTTTTCTTTTCAGTTAATTACCGAGGTACAATCAATGTTTTCAGCTTGCGACAGAAGATACAGAATGTTGCAGTCCTGATATCAATGGGGAGCTCATTCCATAATAATAACATTACTTATCCAGCACTTTTCAAAACATAGTTACAAAGTGCTTTACATGGATTTAAAAACGAGCCGTTCAGAAGGCGACAGAACACGAGGTCAACAATCCACCCCAGCCCGAGAACTATACAATACGAATGTAAAAAGTGATCAATTAAAACAGGGATGTGGAGCAGTGGCATCGTTAAGGACAGGCTTTAATAGAGAGATGAGTTTCTGCTAGCCTCAGATTCTTATAGTGATTATAACGAGGCGTCCAATCAGACTGCATCCAGGACCCAGACGTTTAAAGCTACAATCACACTTAAAAAATGCCCTTGCATTTATTATGCGACCCATTTATGCTGCAGCGCATCGTGCATAATTCATAAAAGTATCCAGTGATTTTACACCTAAAAAACTGAACCCAGTGTGCTTCTTACGTTTCTTATTAAACACAAATGAACACATGATGTTTCCAGAGTCTGTGATGAATCCACCTGCAACAGACTGAAGCACTGACTTGTTTTCCAAATAATGTTCATGGAAGCATTCAAGACTCAAGAGTGTCTGAGGGCTACGAGAGAAAATAGCTTCCCCATCAACTATTAAGTGTGCAGCTGCTCAGAAGAAAAGTATTTAATGTAGATGGCAAAAGTGACTTTGAGAGAACCCACAGGGATTCTCTGAGAAAATATGGAAATATGAACGCCTGTTTCAAAGTCACAACACTAGAGCCAAGCTAACATGGGTAGGAAAGGTCAAAATACAGTTATGAAGCTAGATTTAGAAGGCATTGTTTTAATATATATTGTTTTACGACTCAGAAATAGCATATCATTCCTATAACAAATAATATTCATTCTTGTTTTGACAGCCTGAGTGGACGATACACCCCCCTGGCTCAGACGATTAATGCTATCTAGAATAAACCAGCAGGCATGTTAAAGCACCAGATAAGGTTAGTGTCTGACACACTGTCAAGACAGGCGCTTTTTATAATTATTTTATAAAAGGAGTCTCTTCCGACGATGAGGTAATCAAAACAGCTCATGCAGGCAGAGAAACAAAGCTTAAAACACGCTCAAAAGCCATGGTTAGAACAGCTTTAAATGAATGACTTCCCGCTTCTTCTGTAAATGATGTGTAAAGTTTTAATGATCGGGTTGCTCACAGGAGCCTTAACATTTTACACAGCGTCTTTTAGCTCGTGCTGCTGACTTAGGGACACAACGGCTCCAGAAACGGCTTTTAAGGCGATAAATCTGCTTAAACTACCTTCATGTACCGTTAAACCACCGCTTCCCTATTCCTAATTAAATGCAGTCTGGAAATGAAGTTTGATCCGCTACTTGTCTTGGGCCGCTGCCGATAAAGTTTCACTGACGCAGCGTAGAGATGAAACTGTCAAAACATCATGCGCCATTCTGATCATTAAAGCAACACTTTTTTATTAAACACAACCTGGTTTCAAGTTGTGACATTTATTGCCGCTACACTGGCATCATGCAATACTGTCAATACAGCATATTGTGTGCGCATTATTGTTCTCCATGCTCGCAGGCACGTATACATCCTGTCTGTTTCATGCTCTTCTTGCGCCCTCTGCTGTTCATAAAGCAGAATGCATGCTACGGCTCCCCAAGTATCCATGAGTGGACACACACACCACACACACACACACATCACACACACACACACACCACACACACATCACACACACCCCACACACACACAACACAAACACACACACACACACACACACACACACACACACACACACACTCACACACACACACACACACACACACAACACACACACCATCACACACACATCACACACACACACACACACACACAACACACACACCACACACACACCACAACACACACACACCACACATTCACACACACACACAAATCACACACAATCCACACCACACATAATCACACACCACACCACCACAAACCGGATAAACGTTGGTGTTTTTTTGTTGTTAAATGATCGAGTGTTCTTGCATTTTAATGTGTGAGTTTTTGTATACCTCGGATTGTGGGAAAACAGTATTTCGATCCGTTTCTGTTGAGTACAAAATCATTTTGAGATGAGATTGACAACTAAAGTTGATCTTTGACTAAAACAGTCAAATAAGAAATGGAAACCAGGGAGGAATAATATCATCTCCTCTGCCTTTCAGTGGGCGCTTTGCAGCCGGTGTTGTTCCTGAACACGGATTACAGTCGGACTCGGCTGCGCCTCGGCTGGATCGATCTCACTGACAAATAGAGACCTGTCGCAAAACCATTGCAGAGCAGCTGTGAGGGGCAGAGCGGCTGTGAGGGGCACAGCCTCGTGTTTAACAAACGACTACAGAGAGAGATTGGTATCGTATTCCTTCGTCCTGCTGCCTCTGTTTTATCTGCAATTGTAAGGTTTCCACATTATGAAATGAAAAAGCATCTTAAGCCTGCTAAAAGGTGGCCACACGTAACATGCTACATACAATGACAATTATGCTTTTATCCATTATATATAAGTGCAAGTTAAATAGCAAGTTTTGGATTGTTGACGACTAAAAATAAAGACATCATCTTGAACTCAGGGATTTTTTTTATTGTGCTGGTATTTAACAAACTTAATATTAACTGTATGTTCATTATTATTAATAATCCAATTGGCATAGAATGCTGTTTAAATTCTCTTAAATATAGGAAATACCTGCTTTTCTGCTTTTAAATCATGTTAAACTGAATGTGTTGAGTTTCGGACTGAGAAAACTCGACATTAAAAGATATCACCTTTGGACATTTTACACTATTTTCTGATTAATGGATCATGAAAAACATTTTTAGTAGCTGCCCTACTGGGGGGGGGGGGGGGGGGGTCGACTCACCATCAGCCCGGCAGTGGCGATGCTGAATAGCAAGCAGAGTAGAAAACACCACAAGCTCCGCCTCCGGGGATACCTCTGACCAATGGAGGAGCTGCAGGACCGACAGAGGAGAGAAAGGAGAAATGACTTTCATGAGGAAATGACATTTATTACAGCTTAATGATATGACCCTTTGTTTTAAAGTATCATCCTCTTTTCCCAGCATGCACTATTGACTTGTCACAGCAGGGAAAAGCTCAGGCGTTACTAATAACATGACGGTGGCTATGTTCTCTCCCTGGTTACCAATACAACATGACCGACTACATGAATAATACCAGGACCCTGGAACTGCTAAATGGACTTCAGCCATCATTAATTGTATCATTTATTACATCTGTGCTTTTCCTGCCGTGACATGTCCAAATATATTGGATCTGTATCTTTCATATTTTGAAGCACAAAAAGCTCCAGGATCAATCATTTTAGTTTGTGTATTTGGGGAATTTATAACTGTTGTATTACTGCCACCAGAGACGAAGTGCAGGACGGATACAACACATGACAGATGAAGGTGAGACACCTGCAGAATAACCCTCCTGCAGCACCTGGCCAGGCTTTCTCCAGCTGCTGGAGTTATCTTTTTTATTTGAAGCTTACTTTTAGATGCTTTTCATAAAGACAGTCACGACGCACCTGTGAGTGGCAGTCATACAACACTCGCTGGTGACACTCTTTTCAGTGTAGTGAAGATAAAAAGACACAAGGCCACCAGTTGCTGGTGTGACAGACAGAAACGTTCAAACCAGAAATCACAAAATAGTCATATCACTGTAACATCAAGGATTTGCCATTCTTGAACTACTTCATTTTTAATTGATATAACATCACAGGAAGCTAATTACTCCCATGATCACGGTTTCAGAGGCTTATGCAGATAGAGGTATAGGAATTTGGTTTACTGCAAAATAAAAGGGAATTCCTGAGGTTCAAAACATCCATGGAGCTAAATCCTACAGATTAGAAACCTCATGATGTTATAAGCCACACACACACACACATATATTAACCACACACACATTAATGCACTTGCAAATATAACGACACACAAACAGAAATGTACACACACATGTACATACACACACACGCAAATATAACGACACACAAACAGAAACACACACATATTTTGCCCAGTCAGTCAAAAATGTGTTTGAAGAAATCCTCATCATACAAATTCACAACTACTAACGAAATATTCTGCTTCAAACCACATTTGTTGGTGTCTGGCCTTAAAAAGAAACCAATTTCACTGAGGTCAGAAAACAATTTGCTCCCCCGCAGCAGGTAGCCAAACACAAAGAGAGGCACGCACCTGTAGGCCTACTAACAGATATTCAGAGCTTCATTCCAAAACCTCAAAAGAAGCTTTGAATGTGAACAGAAATGAAATTCTCTTCAGCCCTCTCATATCTACAGAGCCAGGGCATTTCCCTTTCAGTGCCAGAACACACAGGTAGCAGAGGAATGTATTCGATTAGAAATCCACTTTTTCAAAGTGTGGGGGGGGGGGGTTTACCTTGGTTGGCTGATTGGCTAATGGTTTACACAAGACAAAAAATCGTTTTATGACATCATAAAGTGTCCAAAATCTGATTCAGCTCATTTTCAGACAGGTTTTTATAGAAATGGATCAAAAAGAGGAGAGAATCTTTGTTCCTGAAACTTTCAGAGTCTCTTTCCACAGAGGGGACACATGGTGATGTAGAAGAAGACATGAAGAAGAGGGGACACATGCTGATGTAGAAGAGACATGAAGAAGAGGGGACACATGTTGATGTAGAAGAGACATGAAGAAGAGGGGACACATGTGATGTAGAAGAGACATGAAGAAGAGGGGACACATGTTGATGTAGAAGAGACATGAAGAAGAGGGGACACATGTTGATGTAGAAGAGACATGAAGAAGAGGGGACACATGTTGATGTAGAAGAGACATGAAGAAGAGGGGACACATGTTGATGTAGAAGAAGACATGAAGAAGAGGGGACACATGTTGATGTAGAAGACATGAAGAAGAGGGGACACATGTTGATGTAGAAGAGACATGAAGAAGAGGGGACACATGTTGATGTAGAAGAGACATGAAGAAGAGGGGACACATGTTGATGTAGAAGAGACATGAAGAAGAGGGGACACATGTTGATGAAGAAGACATGAAGAAGAGGGGACACATGTTGATGTAGAAGAGACATGAAGAAGAGGGGACACATGTTGATGTAGAAGAGACATGAAGAAGAGGGGACACATGTTGATGAGAAGAGATGAGAAGAAGAGGGGACACATGTTGATGTAGAAGAGACATGAAGAAGAGGGGACACATGTTGATGTAGAAGAGACATGAAGAAGAGGGGACACATGTTGATGAAGAAGAGACATGAAGAAGAGGGGACACATGTTGATGTAGAAGAGACATGAAGAAGAGGGGACACATGTGATGTAGAAGAGACATGAAGAAGAGGGGACACATGTTGATGAAGAAGACATGAAGAAGAGGGGACACATGTTGATGTAGAAGAGACATGAGAAGAGGGGACACATGTTGATGTAGAAGACATGAAGAAGAGGGGACACATGTTGATGTAGAGACATGAAGAAGAGGGGACACATGTTGATGTAGAAGAGACATGAAGAAGAGGGGACACATGTTGATGTAGAAGAGACATGAAGAAGAGGGGACACATGTTGATGTAGAAGAGACATGAAGAAGAGGGGACACATGTTGATGTAGAAGAGACATGAAGAAGAGGGGACACATGTTGATGTAGAAGAGACATGAAGAAGAGGGGACACATGTTGATGTAGAAGAGACATGAAGAAGAGGGGACACATGTTGATGTAGAAGAGACATGAAGAAGAGGGGACACATGTTGATGTAGAAGAGACATGAAGAAGAGGGGACACATGTTGATGAGAGAGACATGAAGAAGAGGGACACATGTTGATGTAAGAGACATGAAGAAGAGGGGACACATGTTGATGTAGAAGAGACATGAAGAGAGGGGACACATGTTGATGTAGAAGAGACATGAAGAAGAGGGGACACATGTTGATGTAGAAGAGACATGAAGAAGAGGGGACACATGTTGATGTAGAAGAGACATGAAGAAGAGGGGACACATGTTGATGTAGAAGAGACATGAAGAAGAGGGGACACATGTTGATGTAGAAGAGACATGAAGAAGAGGGGACACATGTTGATGTAGAAGAGACATGAAGAAGAGGGGACACATGTTGATGTAGAAAAGACATGAAGAAGAGGGGACACATGTTGATGTAGAAGAAGTCACATATAGAGTATGACAGATTTTCACAACCATGTTCGTCTAATTTAGGAAAAGTCCAACACAACGTCTGAGGCTGGTGAGAAAAATGTGTCTCAGATCTTTATCCATCGCCTTCTGGCTCACTGTGTGTAGGATCACTGAGTGAAAGCTTTAGCAGAATGCCTGAGGATGTAAATCTACCATGTGAAAGTACGGTGGGGTGAAGGCATGTGATGGATGCTTACAGCTACTTACACTTTCCTGCAGTGTGGGCACCTGGCCAGCGTCCGGTCTGTGAACTCTGTCCACTGAAATTACAAAGAGAAACATTTGTCAAATGATCTACTTTATTGATGACAACAAGTTCAAGTATTGTGATTAGAATTCATATAATCTCATTCTCGATATCGCAGCCTTAGAATTAGCTGTTTCTTACACCATGCTTATGAATACAAATTGAGACATTTATTTTATCTTTAGACCTATATAACAAACTACAGAAGATTAAAACCCCAAAAAGCATAATAGGGCCTCTTTAACTCACACTATAAACATACACAGTCAGAGTTTAAAATATATTTGGTTTATACACCATGAAGGCAAGTGCAAATGTGTTCAGGGTTGTTTGTAATACTTTGGTAGGGATTTCATGTGTCTATGCGTTTGTCCTGGTCCGACCTGGTGGTGTAAAGGTCAATTGTCTATGAAGTCAAATGCCAAGACAAAAGTAAAAAAGAATTCTCTGAGAGCCAGATAAAGTTGTTCTTTCCCTGGTAAACAATCCAACAGTGGAGAAAAGCAACACTCCTTACATTTCAGAAGCATAATATAATACATGTCTGCCTGAAAAATAACTTCATTGTCTATAGTTGGTACACCGTCAGTTGACTGCTCGGCTGATTAAATGCACTGATGGGGGCGGTCCTCTTTAAATGTGCCTGCTGATGCATTGTTTTGATGACATTTAACATAATCATTCCAGCTCTTGCTAACATCCAAAAGAAAAATAATCTTCCCTCGGGTAGACATTTGTAAACCCTGCAAACCGTGTGCATGCTGTGCATTCGTCTTGTTTTGAATAAACACTCTGTATTGGAGGCACAGAGAACATTATCGCTCCATCTTTGATAAAGGGATCACCGCCAGCCAGGGCACAGATTTGTGTTTTCATTCTGCCTCCCTGTCTTTACGCAGGTAGGAAAGGTCAGACTGAATGCTAAACACCCTGAAGCATCACCAACTAAATCCTTTCTTTCCTCTCACTCTGCAGCCATCCTCACTTCCCCCGTATATTTAAACCACCGTTACCTATAGGCATTGTTAAAAAGCACCGAGTTCAAACTCCCCTTTAGCACACAATGGACTGAATATATCAGCGCAGGGTGGACAGGGTTATCGATCCAAACCAATAACTCAACATTCACTTGGCCTGGTGCAAATGGGGTTTTCAATAATTCACCGTTCTGGCTGCGCTTCAGTTCATTTCACAACAAAGACCTTTCAGCTCGACTGAAACTGTCACGAGATATTTCAACTACGACTGACGGCAAATGCCAAAGCGGTTTTATTATTCGGCTAGTGTGCATTATAATGCAGCAGCTCCTCATACTGTGGCTGTTTTTATTGGATCGTGGCTCCCTGTGGAGTTTATTGGTGGTGCCTGTTTGGATGTGTCATTTAAAGAGATGGGAGGAAGGGGCCTGTGCCAGAGAGTTCATCAATTGAACTGATTTGGAAAAGTCCTTGTCATAGAGGATGATAAGAGCAATCAATCATTACTTTGTAAATACAACCTGTGCTTCTGACGGCATTCATACATTCAGAGTGTTATTATTTGAAACCTCAGAGAATGCAGCAAGAGCCATGTATCTTATAAAACCTACGACAGAAATCCAATGACATTATTTATATATAAATTCATTAGAATCTGTAGACAATAAAAAGAAAAGGAGAAAGCTAGATAGTTAACTATTTGTGGAATTTGACAGTTTTCGTATGAATTACAGAAATTAGATAAAATGACGCTGGAGGAGTTTAGTCGGTTTCCCGTTTCCACTATTTATGCTACGCTAAGCTAGCCCTCTGGTGGCTGTATATTTGACAGACAGACAAAAGATCTTCTTATTCAACTCAGCAAGAAAGCCAATCTACCAAAATGCTAAACAAATCCTTTAACTGTGACTGTAACGCGATTCTCAAAGAACATCCATCTGTTTGCAACTTATCAATACTCCAATTACTTGTATATAAACTATTCTGCACTATTTCTATTAGATAATAGTGCAAGTAATACAATAAAATAGAATCTGTTTTATTGTGTTGCCCAGTTGGAGGAGCCTGTGACCTAAGAATGTCATTGTCATAACTACACTGTAGCTATGCACACATGCCAATGAAAGCCTTGAACCTTGAATGAATCTTGTTCTGATGACATGCTTTAAACGGTGAGGGAGGATTGGTACCAGGAAGGTGTTGTTGCAGTGTCCGCAGGAGACCCGGGCCCCGGCAGGCTGGGGGTCGGGACTGGCCGGACCAGGATGAACCGGACCCAGATTAATTATCCTCTTACTGTAAAAGAGAGAGACATTCAGCGTTAAGGGCAATCTAATAATCACTGCCTGATGTTGTGAGCAGTCGTGACGGAGAGGAAAAGAGCTGACGACGGTTTCACTTTTTGGGATCCATCGGCAGCCGACCCTCTCATTAGCACTAACACTGCTTTCCTACAATCAGCTTCCTCAGACACCTGCAGCCGCTCAGAATCAGACGGCAGCACAGAGGTGTGTCAGCAAGTCTGGTCTGAATGCAAAACAGAGAGAGTGGAGGTGAACTTCTCACAGTAATTTAATGCAGCAGGGAAAGAGGCCTCTGTGGATTATATACATCGTTTAGCATCAGTTTAATTAAATAGGTTACTTTAGGTCAACTCAAATAAAACCAGCAACATTAAAGGGGCCCTATTCTGCTCCTATCAGTATGTAGTGTCTCCATGCTTTCATGTCCAAAAGGCTCTTTATTTTTCACATGCTGCAGCACCTCTTTTCACCCTCTGTCTGAAACCAGAGAGCAGTCTGCTGATTGGTTAGCTGGCCGGCTCTGATGGGATTGGTCAACCGCTTAGAAATGTCCCGCCCCTTAGCCTATCACCTACAATATGTTGGAGCGCTAGCCAATAGAAGCGCTAGTGTTACATAGTGATGTCACTATGTTCAGGAAGTAAACATCCAATGGATGCGTTTCAGTGTGTGGGAGAGAAACTCCCTCTGTAGGAACACAGGGATGTTATCCTTTGCAGACCATTTACATGCACTAAAACCTATAGAACACACTACAGGAAAGGGAAACCCCCACAAAGCAGAATAGGGCACATATATTTGTGATAAGGTATTCACGATGTAGAGACAATATTTTCAAATAAAGTTCAACACAGTCAATTCTAAGCTTCAATGGCAAAGCAAATCACTTGAAGGTTCTTCCTGACATATAAGGACGTGTCATTTGGTTTGAAAAACTAAATAAGTGCCTTCTAATATTCAAACATGAAATCCCTAATCAGCCTTAACCTCTGATCTGCACTGACGGATGCATTATGAGCTTCAGATCTTTATGCCGACAGATTCTGTGGAAGTGCCGTTTCACATCCTACATGTTTAGCAGCAGAAAATTAACCAAAGAAAATATGGCTATAAAAATGTTGCTTTTGAAAATAGTTTACCTCAGGCATCAAGAAAGGCCTCTCATCTGTGTTACCATGACACCATGAGCAGCACGATGTTCAGATGAGCTGCCAGAGCCGTTACCTTCCACTGACTGTTATCTGCCTTCTGTTTTTTACAATTAAATAATACAACACCGTGGCATCTGTCTGGAACGTAAATATGTTTAACAGCTTCCCTGACATAAGGCATTTTAAACTTTATTTCCTAAACTGTTCTGAACTTTCAGCAACCTTGTAATGTTGTCTATATGCGCTGAAGAAAAGTGATTTACTATAGCTCCTTGTCCAGCTGTTCCAAAGAGACTCATATTATATGGAATTGAAATGGCTAAGTGTGCATCTGGTTAGCAGGAATGTAGCGCATAATTAAAGCAGATAGATGAACTGTGATTTCAGCTGCAAGGTGCAGATTGAAAATGTAACATAATCCATATCCCTAAGGCCCAAAATAAGACACACGGTTAATGGCGTCTATTATCCAGGTATAAAGAAGTGGAACACATGATGTGGCTTGTTCTAATAATGCTGTTTCATCCTCATCCGGCTCGCTGAGCACTGGGAGCACAGCCGCAATTTAGGGACTGCTGCTCCCTCGGCGCCTTGTTACTACCTCTGCTTCACTTCACTCTCACACACACACACCTTGTTCTCGCAGTATCACGGTGATGCAAACACACACACACACAGTTGGAAAGAGCTGCTCACCAATATGGCCGGGGACAGGCGATCCTCTGGGAAGTGACTTTGCAGATGAGCAGGCAGTTGCAGGGGCAGCGGACGTACTTCTTCCCTGCCGGGGCGTTTTTAATAGGCTGCAGAGGGAGACGGAGACACACAGGGGGACGAGATAAGAAGACAGCAGAACATCCACTTAGAACGGGAGTAGGTAACAAGCCAATTATTCTTGATGGATGAGAATTAACCAATACTACGCCACAGAGAGAGGTATTCTGGGAGATATTGGAAGTGGCAGTACTGCAGTGCCAGGTTTTGTTTTACTTTAGTTATTAAGGCAATGATAAAGGAAGTTGCAAACTTGATCTTGTTGAACTTTTACAACGGAAAATGTGGCGATTCTATTCTAGGGATAGAAGGGATTGTGAGGTTTATGTTATTCATTATTACATTTCATTACACATTGGTGGACTTTAAGTACATTAAGCTGATATTACTTCTGTACTTCTCCTGAACATTGTGCATTCAAGATTTGTACTTGCAATGGAGTATTTTAGGTATTTCAAATTGTACTTAAGTTAAGGATCCGAGTACTTCTTCCACCTCTGTTACAAGTTATTTATCAAAGCGACTTACATACACCCCGTAGACATGTGTTCAGTATCGTGCCAAAGGACACTTCGACATGTTGACTGCAGGGGGTTGGATCAAAATGCTGACCCTGTGATTTGCATAACAGCGCACAGTTGTCCAAAAGTTCAGGAGCCGCTAGTTTGAATATGAATAGGTCATTTAAGACCCGAGCGAACGCATCAAGCACCCATTTAATTGGCTTTCTGCAAAGAGAGGTTTATTTAGCGCTGAATTTTACCTTCATTTCAATATAGAAGGAAATACAGACAACATTTTCAAGAAATGCTTAAAAAAAATGTAACTTGCATGTGCTAAGATTTGGTAATATTCTGCAGGCTCCTATAGATGTGTGTTGCTGTATGCTGTATTCACATTAGTTACAGCATGGCTTGATGTATACCAATCTAAATATATTCTTATGAATGATATACTCAATGAGTGAGTAACCAGATAAACGTCTATCTCACAAGATACTGAGGGCCAAAATCAGCTGTGAAGGACGGGGAACTGTGTGTTTTTACAAAACTCCAACTTTATTAATACCCTGCCTGCCTTGCTCTGGACTTAATAGAATATCCGGCTGACGGCTCTCTGCGCTGCGTCATTAAACCCCGACTAACCAGATCTGATTGAGTCCTGCGAGTTTCCTTCCTCATCATCAATTTCCCTTTCAACAGATGTGGGAGTCAGGCTTATGTCTGCAGGGAGGTAATGACAGCGAGTGAAGACTAATGTCACAAGTAATCATTACAGGGTGGATTGTACAATTGCAGTCGTCTTTAGTGTTAAAGATCCTATTATTAGAATGCAGTCTAACACCTGCAATGAATTCTACCTTCATTAATATACTAGTGTAGGTGATTTTGAAGCTTGCGGTCAAACTGTATTGCGCTATAATGACTGGCGATTCTATTATTCAGCCCATTTTATATAACAAATTATATTAATTTAAATGATATAATGTGCAGCTGCAGGAAATGAACCTTTTCCAAATCATGTATGTATGATCAGAATACCTTTATTTGTCCCTCAGTGGGGATACAGTGCAGATAAAAAGGCAAAGAGTATACTTGTATATTAATTCAAACGATAAGCACACCGTATTAAAAAATAATCAAAAACATGAGCACACCATGGTAAGACGGGAGGCGTGTGGCGCAGTGGGCTAGTGCGTTGGAGTTCGGATCAGGGGAGCAGGTTCAAACCCCACTGCAGTCAGCATGTCGTTGTTCACCCCAAATTGCTCCTGTGGGGATTGCCCACAGTATTGAGTATGTAAGTCTAATAAGTAACATGTAATGTAAAAGATAAGTAGCAGTATTTTAAAATGTTAAGGAGATATCAAAAAGTGTTCAAGGAGTTGGTAACGTTAGGAAATTGTAAATACATGGTGTCATAATAATGAATGAATTGTAAATAACTGTATGTTGCACATGAGCAGTGGTAGTGCACAACATTTGTTATAATATTAACATTTTGATGTCTGTTATAATGCTATATATTCCTATACAGTCATTGCTATGCCTCATCTGTGGCTATAGTGTTTTACTTCAGTTGAGACTACTATATTGATCGTGATCCCAGCCCAACTTAGACAATAAAAGAGAAAAGAGAAAGTAATATAAATAACAATATGTCTAATTTGTAAAGCTTATTAGCAATGGTAGAGCAAAGAAGAGCTCCTGATTGACAAAGATGAATCTGTTTGGATTGAGGCGACTCCAGCATGTTTCACACTCATTTCAGTCGAAATTAAACCTCATCTGTACGTCTTATAAGGTTGTTTTCAACAATCTATATTTGCACACCGTGACATATTTCTTTAAGAGTACATATATTCCCTCCATCTGTGAATCGCTCATATTGCCAGTCGGTACATCTGGACACATTTCTTATTTCCTCTTCCATCTGCACGCCGATATGCACAGCTAGTGACGCACGCTGTTGAAGCCCCTTTACACTCTGACAGCGCTGAAATTACATGCTGTGTTATCTTCAGCACACATGTCCAATTCCTCAATCGTTTACAGTCCTTTCTCTGTGGGAGCTCAAAGAGATGACTCGAACTCAATTTCCTTTTACAAGTATTTAAAGAGGAAATATTATGCAAATGTTTAGGTCCATATTTGTATTGTGTGCCTCTACTGTGACATGCTTTAATGTTCAAAAACACTGACCAAAACACACCTCTTCAGACTGGCTTTTAATATGTGAATTATGTTGTGTTGCTGTTTTAATATTTGTATTCTATTATATCTCGTTTGAGCACCTGAAAAGGGTATTATTATTATAAAAAAGCCCTTTATTTTCCTCATATTACCTCTTTTCACCCTTGTCTGCTCTGATTGGTCAGCTGGCCGGCTCTGTTGTGATTGGTCGACCGCTCAGAGATGTCCCGCCTCTTAGCATATCACGATTAATGTTATTTAATGTCAAAATAATTATCTCGAATTAGAAAATAAATGTAATAATGGGACCATTGTCAAGATAACAACTAATGTCTATGGAGTTGCTGTTTTGTTCTTAAGCTTCTCAACATTTAAACATATCTTTACATTTATTTTCACTATCTCTATAAAGCGTCTTTGAGCACCTGTAAAAGCACTAACAAAATAAATATGAAGCTTAGCGCAAGTTCAATGAGGAAGACCAATACCCCCTGGTGCTACACGTCACTTCAATCTCCTCTTCCATTAAGTAATCAGGGGCGTTACTCCGCAGCTAGCCAATCATCGCACCTGCTAACCCCTTTAAATCTGCTCTTCCCTCTCCGTCAGCTGTCATTTCAGGTGTCAACGCACAACCCTCCTCCACCCCTTCGCCTCCTGTCTCCTAATTCAGGGCCAAGCTAATCCTTCTTCCTTCAGACCAGACCGAACCACTTATCACCACCACCAGTGTCTAGACCCCGGGGGGTTCATCGGAGCGGTGTTCCCCTCCCGAATGATCATCCTACAAACCGGGGCCTAATCTCCAAACATCAGTTAATTCATTGTTGTAATCTGTCAATCATTTTATTATACCAGGGTTTCCCACACATAGACTATACTTGGGCGGGCCGCCCAGGTATATTAACGGCCGCCCAGGTATATTAACGGCCGCCCAGGTATATTAACGGCCGCCCAGGTATATTTCGCGACCCATTCTTTTTTTTCTTATAATTTTTTTTGGTATTTTTTTTTAATTTATTCGTCCGTGACCACGACGCCATCTGCGATCGATTAACTTGTGGACAATGATCCCTCGCTCCCTTGCTCTGATCTCGCCTCGTTAAGTGGCCTGCCTCACACAGGGTGACTGGCTGTCCACATGATGTGGCTTGCCGACATGGCCACTGTCATACAGATCATAAATCAAAGCCCTTGATTGGTCTCTGTGTGTCATTCAAGCTCGGGATAACCTCAGCTCAGGTGAGGTAAAGGACTCTCTGAGTGTTTAGATAGTTAACTTAGTCTAAGTTCTCAGTGGGTCTCAAACGGTGTGGTCACCATTTATGTAAACACATATTTCCATTTGAGAGGGTAGTGATTGGTCTAATGGATAGTGAGGTGGCTGAAGATCGGAAGGCTGTGAGTTCAAATCCCGCCAGGAACACCTCCACTAGTGTGCCCTTGAGTGCCATCTTTACGCAAAATGATTATACAAAATGAAAACCGCCCGCCCAAGTATATTTCAGATCTGTGGGAAACACTGTATACCATGCGTCCCGGTAATAAACATGTATTTCATACATCACGTCTCTCCTGATTGAACTATATTATTATATATTTACCTCCTGATTTTCCCATGAGCATTTCACTCAGACTGGGTAAACACACTTTTACACTTCAGACTGCCTCTTTAGGAAAATGGTGGACATGACCTGTCATACCGAATTATTATGAAATGTTACGGTATGGGTAGATCAAGATCCAGTTCATTCTCCCCACTGGTTATTAATAAATCAAACACCTACATGTGCTTCATCTTGTCAAGTGAATTGACTAGTAAAGAGCTAAATGTTTGTAGCATCACACAGGACTGATAACATCAGAGAAGAAACATCAAACGGTCCTCAGAGATCAAAAGATTAACATTTAGCTTTTAAATTCATGCAAGTGTTAAATATTCATATCATATTTCCTGTGATTTGCCTACATGTCATTCACATCATAAATCAACAGCTGACAGCATATCACCTTTTTCAATGTGACTCAATGTGAATCTGTTACTGCACCAGTTCAAATACTTTGCACTCACCAAACACATTAAAAGTAATGTCATATTTTGGGTAGGATGAGCCATATAACCCAGTAAGGAGTCTTGGAAAATAATCTATTTGTTATTGCAGGAAATATACAGACTGTACACTTTTATAAATCGTATTTATTTATTTATTTATAAGGGCTTTTCACCCAAATAGCAACAAAATAAATGCTTTCGAAACAACTTAATATCAGGGAACATTTACAAGAGGATTATAGGGGCTCACTGTGAGGTATGTGGATCAACCGGAGTCATAGGGATACTGATTATGGAAGCTGAGCTGTATTGAAAGTTTTTCCTAAATTAGCAGCTTCTTTTGAGATGTCTGTTTTTATTATTTATAGTTAGTTATAGTGTGGTTATATACATTTAACTTATAGTGCTGATGCGCCTACCTATGCAGCAAGAAGGAAAGCAACCCGTTTTTAAAGCAATAAAAAGATTGGGATTTAGAGACACATATCTCAAAAGCTTGGTTAATGTATTTGGTGATTTGTATGAAACAACCCATTGACAGAGCATACTGGTCAAGTATGTGTGAGTTGCAACTGTACACACTGAACGGATTCAGTGTATCGAAACTTACCGTGGCTTCATTGCAAACGCCACACTTCACCACGTGCTGGTGGATCTTTCCCTCCACAGAGATCAGGCTCTGACACACCCTGCAGCTGATCACAGGAGCACTGCCACTCTCTGGGGAGGTGAGAGGGGAGTAGGGCGGAGGGTCCTCCCCCAGGAGCACCGAGGGCTGAGTGGGGCTGGGGAACGGAGGGAAGCCTGCACAGGGACGGGTAAAAAGTAACAAATAGAAACGGTGAATACAAAAGTAGTACAGCCACTGACATATGACCGGATTGTTGAGGTGAACAAATTAACAAGAGTTGCACAATGGACTGAAATGCACATGACAAGTAACAGCTTACATTAGGATTAATAAGATAATAAGATTTGGTCTCGAGGTGTACTGAAAGGAGCTTTAGAAGAAAAACACTCCTGGAATGCTGAGCGGGTTCATTTCAACAAGTAAGAGTAAGTACTAGTGAGAGACCCGAAAAAAAATACAACAATGACGAGAGAAAGGGACAGTTTCAGTAAGATGCAACTTAGCAAGCAGACTGAATAAAGCACTTTATAGCAGCTAAACACAATTAAGGAGCTCTTGCTTTTTCCAGAATGTTACACACAGGCCCTCCCTTCATGAGCTGCCATTGGTTGAAGCTCTCTCTTGCAGCATCCCTTTTCAGCCTCCTTACTGGCTTTCTCACATGTCAATCAAATCAGGTGTTTCTCAAGATGCTAGCTAGCTAGGTGGTACTGTTATCTAGTTTGCGAGCACCGTGGGCATCATTCAACTATTGGAAAACACGCAACAATAAGTGTCAAGAAACGTTAATAAAATATATGTGTGCTGTTCTTTTTCTGAGCTGCAAACTTGATATTATGCGCATGCCGGTGCTAATTGAGCTAGCTAACAAGCTAATATATAACGGTTGCTAGGTTAGCTAGTTAGCACAAGGCTGATTCCCTTCTGCTTCACGTCCTAATAACACAAAGTAAATCACATTGTATCCCCCAGGAGATGCTCATTAAGATATCAAGCTTACATTATAGCTGGCATTAACACAGTGAGAATAGGCTGGTTCAAACAGCTGAGCTAGCAGGCTTATACATGTTCATTTAACTGATCAACGTTTTACCTTGTTGTTGTGATATCTTCTTTTAACAGTTACCTATATAAAAGCATTTTTAATGTAACTCTTATCTGTACTGTCCTGTGTTTCACTCTTACTCTCTTGCTGCTTTAACACCTGAATGTCCCATCAATTAAGGTTCCATCTTAACCAGAATGCCCTGTCAGTGGATGCTAAGCTAGGCTAGCTGGATATCCCTCTGCTTCTCATCCTGATAACAACACAAGGGAAAGCTCCATGGAGACTCACTCTGAGGTTTGTTCGGTGCACCGTAAGGAGCGGCACCGGGAGACACCCCGCCGTTACCGCTGCCAAGAGCACCATCTCCCAGATCCGATAGTAACGGGGACCTCTCGCCGTCCGCCATACCGAGAGCCGGGCGTGGGGAGGGGGAGTGGAGCGTGAATGCAGACCAATACGGTGTGTATTGTTGTGTCGGAAACGCAGGCGTCACATGATCAGACCACCGGTGCTGCTGCTGCGGTAACGGGACCAGGGGCGGAGCTTTGATCACCCGGGAATGGGATGCTGTTATACACTAAATGGGTTGTAATCAGAGGTGGGAGAAGTACTCAGATCTTGTACTTAAAGGTCACCTATTATGCAAAATCCACTAATATGTGTCCCCTCTGTAAGAGATTCTGAATGTTTCGGGAAAAAGATTCTCCCACTTTTGATCCTGATCCATTTCTATAAAAACCTGTCTGAAAATGAGCTGATCAGATTTTGACCACTCTATGATGTCATAACGATGTTTTGGCTTGTGTAACCATTAGCCCGAAAAACAGTACAATAGGGGACCTTTAGAGTAGATGGTCAGAGTGTTGGAATACTCTGTTATAAGCAGTGGTGTAAAGAAACTAAGTACTGAAGTACTGTAGCCTACCTAAGTACACATTTGAGGGACTTAACTTACTTGATTATTTCATTTGTTGCTATTCGTACTTCTTCTCCACATATAATTCAGAGGTAAATCATGTACTTTTACTCCACTACATTAATGTTGTACCTTTAGTTACTTTACAGATCTGGATGAATGATGTGAAATATAATCAACTCTTAAATCAGACTTTAGTTCCACCTGGAGTAAATTCACAAGCTACCCTGCAGTGTACAAACTCATTCAAACTAGCTGCACTTTTACCAGCTTTGAGAACACTTTAATGATCAATAATTATAATCAAAGCATATAATAATAATATTATATAGATACTGCATAATGATTTATTTTACGTTTGGTACTTTAAATATATTTTGATGCGAATACTTTTCTACTTTTACTTGAGTAACCTTTGAATGCAGGACTGCAGAGTTAGTAAGGTCTCAGTAGCCTAATTCAGAGGGCATCTTCCTAATGAAAACGACTAAATAATTTCTAAATAAACACGCATGCATGCATGTAAATATTGTATTAAATGGCTGATTTTAAAACTATTCTTTAATGTACGGCTTTCCCTCATAGGCCCGATTTTCTAAAAATCATTTTTGCAATAGCAGCTACATATGATTACCATTCACAATAAATAAGGTATCAGCCAAAAAAATTATGGATGAACCTTTGCATTGCCAATAAAAAAAACATCACATTATATAAAACATATTTTATTACTCATGGAATAAAAGGAGACATGTGTAGAAAACAGCATTAAAATATACATCAATCTCCTCTACGTCTCTCAAATACGTGTTGGCTGTAGTCACTCTTTCTTAAGGCATGTTGATAAAATCCATGGGTCGTTTGATCAGTAGAGTCACCTCCAGTTCCTCCCTCTCACTGAAGAACTGAGCCTTTCCCTCGTGGCTGTGGATCGGATGTGGGAGATGAAGACCGAGTTTACTGAAGAGAAAAAAGACAGGTTAAAGCAGGGGTGTCAAACTCAATTTCATCTCGGGCCACATCAGCATTATTGTTGCACTCAAAGGGCCGGTTGTAACTTTAAGACTATATAAAAATACATATATAAATATTTAATATATATAAAATAATGTATTATATTACATGATTGCCTCTGCATTGGATTATTATCAGATAGGGTAATAACTTCCTAATTAACTATGTCTGAAAGCAGAAGTCTAGGGCAAATAATTGCAAGTCTCTTCAGTGAGAATGTCACAAAATGATTTAAAAAGAAAAGCCAAATTCTGAATAAAAAAGTCAAATGAGAGATGCATTGTGGGACATGTAGTTTATGGGCAACGTGCTTCTGTAAATCGGCATGTAATCGTAATCGTAATTGAGCTCTTGCGGGACCACAGAAAATGAAGTCGCGGGCCGGATTTGGCCCCCGAGCCTTGAGTTTGACACCCCTGGGTTAAAGGGAGAATCTGAGTGGAGGAGGATGTTAAGAGCGGGGTGAAAGAGCAGTCAAAGCTCAGATCATGACGTGAACCTCTGATTTAAAGGAAATGTCTGCTAATGGGAGCATTTGGTCTGAACTGCTGCTGCTCCGTTTTGAGGGGATTCAAAATGAAAGAGAACATTTTCAAAGCATCCCTTACTATTTAAGTGTCCGCAGATCAAGGAACTTCTCTTTTACATCCAGGACCACACTTTGTTGCTTTAGTGTCTGGTAGTTTGATTTTCACCTAAGAGTGGGAACAAGTCAGCATCATTAATATTGTACACAGTTTGATCTTCATGGGGAAAGAAAACAAAATTCTACCTATGTAACGTTGCCTAAATCATATTCTCACTCTTGTGTATCATTACTTAAACTATAAGGTGTTACATTACTGTCACTTATTTTCTTGATCTGTTTTGTGGAGAATTGTCAGATTTTCCAAAACAGTTACACTCACTCTGTCTTGTTGTGCAGCTTAACAGTTTAATTGTAGGCCCCTTAACACTTTGTATACCCTGCATTAAGTTTAAAATATGTTATTAGTTTTTCAGTCTGAAATGATGTATTTCTTATAATGAATTATCCAAAACGACCCCACCCTTGGCAATGGGAGAGCCTGTTATACAGCCTGATAATGGGTCTCCTGCTGCTGACCCCTGAATACATCCTTGAAAGCTTTTTTATGTTTCGGTGTCAAAATAAGGACATTGAGTATAAAAATAGATCAATTACCAGCATTGATTCACAGCACATGGAGGATGGGTCTTTTCCATTCAAGCCAAGGAAAGATATCCTCTGTTCCGACACTCTGCTTCAGGATTATATCATACCTGAACACAAGGCAATACACACATAAATGTAACAACTCTGCAGCTCATCCAGAATGCAGCGGGCTCGTCTGGTCTTCAATCTTCCTAGATTCTCCCACACCACGCCGCTCCTCCGCTCCCTTCACTGGCTTCCTGCTAGAATCCACTTCAAGACACTGGTACTTGCGTACCATGCTGCGAATGATCTGGCCCTTCCTACATCCAGGACATGGTTAAACCGTACACCCCAGCGCGTGCACTCCGCTCTGCATCAGCCAAACAGCTCGCTGCACCCTCACTGCGAGGGGGACCCAAGTTCCCATACTTATATGATTCTGTTTTCTTCAAGTTTGTATCTTCTTGGTCGGAATGCACTTATTGTAAGTCGCTTGGATAAAAGCGTCAGCTAAATGCAATGTAATGTAATGTAACATCACATTAGACTAAATCAACAGGGCATTAACCAGAAACGGAAAACAAACAGGAAGGAGTGGGCACTGAGGGTCAGCTGAGGTCAATGGAGAGGGAACATTCATATATTCAACCTTTATCACTTTAGTCATCATTGATTGTATTTATTTTTTATAAAAAATCTAAGAAAGACCACATACTAACAGAAGCGAGGCAATGCCATTACAATATTCAAAATCCATTAAAATATTTTGATTATTAATTTGATAATAGGTTTGGAAATAAGGATGCAAAATAAAATATAGTTATGAAGACCTAGAACTTAATAATTAGGGTAAATAATTTGTAGGATAAAAATACAATTATTTAAATGAAATACATTTATCGAAACAATTACGAGTACAGTTCCAGAGGTTTAAAACATGTCTGGGGTTGATTTTAAGCTGGTGCTGTCTACATTTGTTTCTTGTTCACTTAAATCAAAAGCAGTACAAGGGTAATGACCAAGGCAAGTATAAAGTAATACTACAATAAAGTTTAGAATAAAGAAGGGAGGTAATTTCAATGCATGGATGGTTTTGACCTTTTGGTTTAAAGGTTGAATTAAACTAAAGAAGAATGAGGAAAGGTGTAATCCTTGTGAGGGTGTAGCCAGTGTGTGTCCCCTTTAAAGCAAGGGTGTGCCTTGCAGTCTTACTCAGGCTGTGGGCGCGGGTCATTATCGTCTTCATACTGGCAGCCCTCAGCCACCTCTTCCTCGCTCCAGATATCTTTGCTCGTTCTCTTCACATAGGCAGTAGACACTAAATACACAGTGAATAAATACACATGAGCAAATGTAGTTTGTACAGTTCATCAAGACACCTGAGTAAGTATAATGAGGTTGGTGCTCATTTTTAGAAGTTAAGTGTAAGAAGAACTATTAAGCATTACCTTCTTTATCTGTTTTGGGTGGGGGGACCAACTTGTCCAGGACCAAGCCGGGCACAAAGCGTTGATATTCTGTTGAAAAATAATTGATATTATCGTAAGGCAAACAGGGAGTTTGAGACTCAGCTTGATTAGATTACACATTTTTGTAATTCACTCTAATGGACATAAGTCTTTGGTTTCAGATATATTAACATTTTCCTCTGCCATGAGTAACAATTTATGAGATAAAAAAAATAAAATTAGTTGGGCGGGACAGTTTGGATGAAAGACAGAGGATAGAATATATGATCTCTCAAAGATAAGCAGACAGAAAGAGGAAAACAATTGCATGCATTAGGCTAAATCAGTCATTATAAGGCAGTTATTAGACAAAAAACTACAAATACACACCTTTCACTCACTAGCAAAGTTTTCTGAAAAACATTACTTTGTGTGTATTGTATTAAATATTCTTCATATGAAGGCTGAGTGAACTAAATTAACTTTTAAACCTGGGCAGACTAAATCAAGAGTGGACAATATCTTACTTTACAGTCTTCATCATCTTCATCCTCCTGCTGGGTTGATAACAAGTTGGACAGAGCCTGTAGGTGCTGCAGCGATGATGCTCCAGCAAACTCCATTCAGAAGAAAAACAAGTTACTTTTGGCTTATTGTTTCTTAGAAAAAAGGCACGACCACCCCCTCGAAACAGAAACAGGTCAAATAGTTTAAGAAATATCCTTAAAAAAAAGTTGAATATGTAAATGTAGCTTTTCCATTAGTGATCGTATGGACTGTTGCTTTTGTTGACGCTTGTTCCGTTTCCATGGAGACGACCGGGCTGCCATCAGGCTGCCATGGGAACAGTGACGTCAGATTAACGGAAGGGGAAATTCAATTTGTAGTTTTTTAGGGTGTTTTAAAATAAAACTCTTTATTGCGACAACAACAAAAATACTTGAAAAAATACCATCTCAAAGTGTTATTCATTACCAGAATATAATTACTGCTTTATTAACGTGTAGAACTTTATTATTACCTTTAAAGTATGCTGAGTAGGAGCTAATATTCATATTTGTATAGGATATGCTCTCCATAACAGGTAGCCTAGTTACACCTATAACAATGCAGAATACAAGATCATGTTTGATATTTAAAAAGTTAATCTGCACAATAACTGATAATTAAATGAAATTCAGCAAAAATATAAATATAGTACAGTACAACCAATAAATTGGACTCAAGAATAATCTCAGAATAACATTAGTCCCTATATTCGACCACTAAATACTTCTTAAAACAGTAAAATAATAACAACATGTATTGCAATGTGTATGCATATAAATAAAACCTGTCCAGCATACTTTGAAATAGCTTTACATTGATGTTGTGCTTTCAAGCATAATAAACGCGTTTGTCACCAAACTACTGAAAGGTGGCGTTATTATCGCTCCGAGTATGAACCAGGTCCCTCCTGAGACACCGTAGAGATTGCATAGCACGCGGGGATCATGTTGAAGGTGACAGGCAGTGCAATGCCGGGACCTATGAGTTTATTATTCCCGAACCCCGTCTTTGCTGCCTCCCGTGACGGGGATCCACAGCCGTCCGCCCCCTCACTCCTCCTGGACGAGCTGTCTCTGTACACCGCTCCTCCTCCTCTACAGAAGCCACTACATGTGCAGCCTGAAGCGGGTCACCTGGAGCAGAGTGTCGCCACCCTGCGGGAGTTCACGGAGCCATACACGGGGTGGTGCAAGGACACCTACAGCACAATTCAACCCAAAGTTCATAGCGTGGTCCAGTGTGGGAGCGACACCTATGCCTATTTGAAGGACCCACCAAAGGACTTCTATCCCCGGGCAGGAGTAGTCGGCTTCACCGGTGTCCTGGGGCTGTTCCTCGCCAGGGGCTCCAGGATTAAAAGGTTTATGTTACCGGCGGGCCTGATGACGGTGAGCGCCTCCATGTATTACCCGGAGAAAGCTGCGACCATCGTAAAGTCAGCCGGAGACTCCGTGTATGACCGGGCTGTGCAGAGCTACGCTGCCCTGGAGAAGATGGTGAATCCTCAAAGTAAATCTGGAAAAGACTCAGAAACTAAACCCTGAAGGGTCAAAGTGTGATTCTGCAACAACTCAGCAATACCAAATCATCCTGAGGGTCAAAGTGTGATTCTGCAACAACTCAGCAATACCAAATCATCCTGAGGGTCAAAGTGTGATTCTGCAACAACTCAGCAATCACCCTGAGGATTGTAGTGTGATTATGCAATAAAAAAATCAGCCTTTTCCTGATATTGTAGATTGACATTTGCTGCACAGACAGGCACTAATCTGTGTGACTTCCTCATGCCCACTATTTGCACTAAGATTCACATGTAACTCAGGCCGGGCATGGCCTGTCACAAGAGCTTTGCAACTTGAATAATCAACGTATGCTTCTGATTTGAATGTATATTTATGTAGTGAAATATTAAAAATCTACTCTCTTATGTTTGACGTCTTCAGACATTTGTTAGTTGCAGACCTTCATGCGTTACATACAATCATTACAAAATAAAATTAACTTTTTTGAGAATGAGTTGCTTATTTTTTCAGGCGAACTGTCAAACATTTCTTATAATATCCTCCTGGGACCCAGCCCATTGAAAATGTCCACTGTAGTGGACATTTTATTAACATGTGTATCCTTTTACTCTTTTGAGCTAGTCTATCAATATCTGATGTGCTGTACAGAGGACATCCTGGTCTTTCCAGTGATATGTCATTGGTTACAATTGCATGCTGGGAAGTCCCTCTTTCTTTTCATCCAAAATGGCTGGCATACCAAAAACAAAATTGTATAGAAGCAGAAGTAAAATATTGTTGAATAATTATTATTTTTAACATGAAAATCCTATATGTTCTTGTTTATTAACATGTGAGGAACTATATATATAATTAGTTCTGAAAGCAATTAAATCATTCAAGTTTTGAAATAACAGCTCTTTTATAAATGTCCATTCTAGTGGACTCAGGACTATCTTCATGGACTTTATGATTCAATATTGTCGCAGGAGACGGAACTGAAGCAGATATTTTCTGTACCAGATAGTTCAGGGAGATTAAGATGTTGAGCTCTCAGAGGATGAGAGAGATGAGGATTTCACACCTGGGATAGAAGAGGGTCAAGAAGAAGGAGGCTCCATGAGCGCACAGATAGACAGAGAGACAGATAGGGATAAGCTGGAAAGACATGGCTCTCTGTGGGCCAAGAGTCATCAAGTATGCATAAAAACACGATTGCAACTTTAATTTCAAACATCATATATAACACTACAGGAGTTAGTCAGTAAATGTGAGCTACCTTATATATAGTTTCAAATATTACTTCAAAAATCCAGATTACATTAGCAATTTAACCATTTCCATAAAAATCCGTAGCCATGTGTGAGAAATCTAAATGTCTTATTTGTAATTACAGTATTACCAAAAACAATGCCTGGAAAAACCCAAAGGTGAACACTGTATGACTTAAACATCTTTATTCATGTCTGCCCCAAAAAAAAAAAAAAAGTACAAAATTAAATATCACTTCAATGAAATCCCCTCAGAGCAGCACCAGCTTCTCATTCAGAGCGATCTGTGCTTGGGTGAGGTTAGACAGGTAGGTCACCATCAACAGGTCCTGCAACACATTAAACACATTCATTTTGTTATTACAAGTGTGTTCATGATGACATACCATTAGTAAACTACCTAAATATGCTTATACTCCTTTAACAGTGTTACAAGAAGGTCACAGAGACAGACACTGGCCGTTTCTCAATGTCGAGTATACCTGCTGCAGAGCCACTATTTCAAGTATACTACGTCATCGAGTGGCGCCGAAGGACTGTTTAAATGCATGATAAATGCCCAGCATTCGGCGCCACTCGATGACGTAGTATACTTGAAATAGTGGCTCTGCAGCAAGTGTACTCGACATTGAGAAACGGCCACTGTGTGCAGGAAAAGAGTTATGACACTAGAGGAGTTAGGAGAGAACCAACAATGGGAGGCAAAGCCTTATTAAGTGCTTCCTGTAATCAATGTGAAAACAATGCTGTATAAAACCGCTTACACCAAATCAATTGAGAATAAAAAAGGCAGAGAACTTACGTTGATGTTGGAGTTGAGCATGTTCTCAAAGTCCTCGGCTGAGATGGTGGGCACCTTGTTGACGAGGTCCATCAGGAAGCGACCCACGCTGTTATCGGCCGCCACTTTGCCAGACTGAGACAGATCGAACAGCATTAGCTTTACACACACCACAAACTCCATTACTTTACAAATGATCTCTAGAGACATATATAGTGATACGAGTGTTATAAAGTAGAATATCTGGAATATGACAAGGAAAACTAACAGCAGAAGGTATTGCTTTGTCATTTTGCACATTCTCTAATCATTCGAGATGCACTGATTGGAGTTTTCGTGCCTGATTCTGTGTTTTTAAAGTCTAACCTGGAAAGTTACAGCATACAAAATAATTGTTCTTCTACAACTCTATTGTAGGTATATATATTAAGACTAGGGATGGGTATTAAAGGGGCCCCGGGGCTGAATTATTAAAGACCGTGGTACCGTTAAGCTCCGACGTTATCTGTCTTTTTATCGGTACTGGAGACAAAACATATATGTCATATGTATTTTTGCTACACAAACATTATATTGCAGTTTTAGTGTCGCCAACTCCGTTTCTAATACGCAAAAAGACTGCAAAATGCATCTATGATTATTTTGTATCGATCTTTCCAATCCAGACGAGATCTCTCTCTCCCGCCTGCTTGTGAGGGGGCGGGGCAGTTTACACACACGCAGCTGCTACATGCAGCAACACACACACACTGAGGAGATGGCTGAGAGAACGCGCTCCGAGGTGTGGTTCAACTTTACCCGTCTCAATGCTCGTTGCCAAAAGTGCAATAAGTGTTTAGCATGTGAGGGCGGTAACACGAGCAATTTGTCTAAACATTTATCAAAAGTGCTCCACATCCAGACGGAGGAATGCACCGGGTTCGACCGTCTTTCTAGCAGCTCTGTAGCCCCATCCACGAGTAACGTTTCCACGTCAGGTGTTATGTATGCTAGCAGCAACACACGGAGTTAACTCATTATACAAACATGGGTTAATGATTAGAGGAAACAGAGTTATTTATTTTGTTAAAGTTTCAGCTATTCTGTTTACAGTTCTGTCATCAGATTATTTAATACCATTTGTTAAAACATTGTTGTTTCTTTTGATGTGAAATATTATGTATTTAATTTAAATAAAAAGCAATGTTAGATTTGTTTAGTTAACCTTACCTTATTTTCCTCTCCAAAAGAACCGATAAGAGTACCGTTAAAGGACCGGATCGATAAGCGGTATCGATAAAAGTAGTAGTACCGTTAAAACCTTAACGGTACCCATCCCTAATTAAGACTTACTTTAATACATAAATTATATATTTTTTCCAAAACAGCACCAAGTCTCAGGAACTTCTATCACTCTCTCTAAAATTCATCCAGGGGACCACAGGTGCAGAATATCTATATGCCACATACATTTAAAAGGAAATGTTGAAAACTATGTATAGGTCAATGGTTTCTTTTTTAATACCCACACCCACAGACCCGCTATGAGAGCCAATCCACAACAGTATGTGTTAATCAACTATCGGATAGACATGACAGTTATTCAGTTTTGACCTGTTGCTAATCATTTGGGGCATGTCTACTAATCTTATCGTATTTGAGTCACATTATCGTTTCAATTGCTCTATTACTCACCAGCACATCATCAATGTATGCCAGCATGGTGGTCAGCATGTCCTGAACCCTGGCTGCAGAGCCCCCCACCTGGGACAGATCAGAGGTCAGCCCCTTGGTGCGACTCGGAAGGACACGAGTCCTCTGCAGAAGGTCCACTGGAAAACACACACGGGATTATTAGAGTGCAGTACTGCAATTAAGAGCCAAACAACCGGGACAAAGTTATACATGTATTGGCAGGGGAAATAATTAACAGGCGCTATCCAAGTTGACAAACAAGTTGTTTTAGAGACAGCAATTCAAATATCACTGAGAATTTGACGATGGCAGATATTTAGTCAGACAGATTTCTCAAAAAGTTATCTTCATTTATTGTTTGTGATCTTACCGCCTATCCTCTCAGTGTCAAAGTAGACATACTTGACAGTGAGCGGGGTGAACATCACACCAACTGTCTTTCCTGGCACGCCCATCTGCGCACTGTGTAAGAAATAGAGAAGCACAATTAAGCAGGCACTTCATTTGTAGTTGATCACTCAAAAAAGGACCATGTACAGGGCTCAGACTAGAGTTAAACCTTGAGGTCAGTGTTTTCAAACAGGATAATCAGCATACCTGACGTAGGCGCGGATGCTCATCTTGCTGCTCTGCAGGGCCGTATCCATGGTCAGGTGGATGGGGTTGGTGGCTTCACGGCTGTAGTACTCATGAATGAGCACCGAGTGTTCTGTGATGTCAAATCCTGTGGCATACCTGGGAGGACAGATTTAACACTGGTTGGAAAACGTCTTTTATATTCCATCTTTGACATTTCTAATTTGGTCAACTGACGCACCATCCGATGATAACCTCAGTGGGTGACACCCTCTTGTGGAGCTCGTACATGTTCTTAGCGAACTCCATGTCCACAGCAACCTGTTGGCAAAGAGAATTACATTTGACATATTGCCCTTCTATAACAAAACAATGCAATATGAGGCAGCCAGGTAGTTTCTTCACTCTTACATACAAGCCCACACAAGAAAAAGAGCATGCGTTTTTAAAGAAAGCTTATCTTAATTCATGTATGGTTCAGGAGTAACATGACCTCCAGGAAAGACAATGGTCCTTCTGGACAAAGCCATTTAGAATTTTCCATCCAACTCCAAATACTTAAATGTACTACAGATACTTGTACACAACATGTTCAGAGTGTTACCAGGGGAAAACATTATAAAAAGCCAGGGCTAAAAGTAGGGTACATGTTAAATATGCTACCTTAAAGTGTTGGACAGCACAATAATGATAATAATGTAGTAGAACATTCAAATGTATCTTTAATATTTTAAACGTTGTATTCTTTGTCTATACTTTATTCCACCTTTTAAATATGTTAATGCCTGAACACATTGCTGCTGTAACAAAATAACTTCCCAATTTGGGATCAATAAAGTATCCATGTATACTGTGAGTAAATGAGTATCACAACATACCTCATCTTCAGATTCATTGTGAGGGACAGAGAAGCAGTTGGTCACTTCAATTGAGTGCTTGTCAACAGTACCTGAAAGAGAAATGTTGCATATGAGGCATTATTATTTAGCTAGCCGCCTTAGCCATGATAGCTACCAAACAAGAGGCTAAAATCATAACGAACCATCATCAACAACTACAATCAACTATTTTCAATATTTGTTACTACATACCATGGTAGTATATATTAATCAGAGAAGGTTAAATGACTTGGCAGATAGTTAATGTTCCCATCTGTGTATTGATAACAGCCAGCTGTTACAAGAGATGCTGCTAGTTAGCTGTGTTGGCTAACCAGATGTAGCTAGCTACTACTGGATTGAAACATGCGCTAGCAGGGATGCTAATCGCAGGGAAGCTAACATTAGCATGCTAGCCATCGCGTCTTTTATCAGACAGCATCCCGCCCAACAAATAATTAAAGTCTCTACGTACCCAACAGGGTGCCGATACAACGACTCGCTCCCTCATTTCTCCGCTCGTAAGAGTCGCAGATAGAAGCGAGAACGACGGGGTGAATCTTCACCACTGGCCCGTACACCGACATGTTGGAAAAGGAGGACTGAAGCACCGCCTGCTGGCAACACATATACCGCCATCTGGAGGCCGGAGGACGGGGAGCTGGTGTTGAAAATGACCCTAATTATAATGACGATTCAATGTTTCTGATATCATTAGAGATGGAAGAACTAAGTACTCAGAGGATTTACTTAGGTAAAATAAGCAATACTGTTAAAAAGTGTGAAAATACTAAGTTAGAAGCACCATATATTTTAAACTATTACAATTATTGCCTCATGCATGTGTTCATTAGTTCAGTGTTGTACTTGATAAAAGTGGGTTTTATTTTAACTACTTAACCTATAGGCCTAATTAGCTAGTGTATGTGATGATTTATATTTTGTATTAATAATCTAAATCTGCAAACTAACTTAATGTCTAAAACAAATGTAATGGAGTAAAAAGTATAAAGCAGCATAAACTAAAAACACTCAAGGAAAGTACAAGTACTTAAATGTATACTTAATGACAATGCTTGAGTAAACATACTTAGTTAAATGACACCACTGGATATCAGCATCATTATTAAATCAGTTAAAAATAGCTGTATGAATCATTTTATTAGGTTTTAAGGGCTTGGCATAATACTGTCCATAAGAACCACACAAATATGCATTGAACCACTTATTGGTAGAAAATAACAAAACATTAAGTACCTCAAATTGTTTACTTAGGTATACTTAGTTAAATATTACACCAATGGATATCAGCATCATTATTAAATCAGTTAAAATAACTGTATGTAGGTTTTTGGGCTTGGCCTAACACTTTCCATAGAAGATCCTCACAAATATGTATTGAACCACGTATTGGTAGAAAATAACAAATCATTATTACATAAAGAGCCTCTGGGACTTCTCCTCTCTGAGCTGCGTGCAGAGGTCTGTTTGCGGACCGTCTGCAGGCTGCGGCTCGGTAGGGGCTGGGCTGATGACAGCATCCTCCGCCGCTCGGCAGTCCACACCTGACCGCCTCCATCAGATGCACCGAGGATGGAGCTCTCTACGCTGCTGGGTTATCCTGTTGCCACCATTTCACACATCCACTGTCCGACACATGTCCTCCAGATGCCGTGAGAGATTCACCTGGGTTCATTTAGCCGGTGGTTTTTCATTTTTATGATTCATTTTGCGCTCCCTTTCGTCTACTCGTCTCAGTGGTCGGATCGAGGTGCTCTCTTTGTTTTCCTGGAAAAAAACGAACAGCAGTGGACTGAAGCTGCGTCGCTGGTAAACACCAGAAATGGGTGTCATTGAACCACTCTCGGTTCGCTTTTGGACCGGATTTTTGCTTTTCTTATGACAAATCATCTGCCCAATCCTGGTTCCTACGAGTTGCTACACTGAGCAGGTAAGGGGTTATTCATTATTAGCTGCTATTAATCCACGCTATTGGTTTCTGTATCTTATTGGCTGGCTAACAGACACCCGTCAAGGCTATTTCTGATCCATCTGTCAGGCATAGTGCGTCATCTTAATTGTCACCCTCCGTCTTCTCTTGCGTGCATCTCCACCTTTCCCAAATAGACTCACATCATGTCAGGCTAAAGCGGTGTAGTCGGGTTTACTGTGCTAAATGTCAGAGACACATCATGTACACATACATATTTCAGATATTCATATGGGACTTATGTAAGGTAGCCTATCTCAGCAGGCCTTAACCATCCACATTAAAACAGAGCAGGAGGTGTGCACACACACACACACACACACACACACACACACACACACACACACACCCACACCCACACCCACACACACACACACACACACACACACACACACACACACACACACACACACACACACACACACACACACACACACACACACACCACACACACACCACACACACACACACCACACACACACACACCACACACACACACACACACACACACACACACACACACACACTAACCCCAAGGCGCTTTGTGCTAAATAGGAACTGCATATGTCACATGCTCCAGGATTAGGCTATCTTTCATAACAAAATATATATACAAATTGCACTTTTATGTGTTACTGAAAAAACTATGCAATATCAACCTCAAACATTGTGATTTACTTCTTTATTTATATATCTATATTTATTTGTGTGCTTATTTAGCATTTAAAAAGGGGGACATGATTAAACAGGCAGAGACAGGAAGTCAGTTCTGTATGGAGAGCAACACAGAAGCTCAAGGCCTTGTTATTTACAGTATGTAGACAAGATAATAGTATCCTAAGAGGAGATAAAGGACCCATGGATCTGAAAAGCTCCTGCAGTAATAGAGTATATGTCTCTTTAAAAATCATTGAAAGTGAATCAGAGCGACAGCACAACAGTTACTTCGTTAGAGGATTTAATTTGATCGCTGTGTTCTTCTCTTATGTTCCAGGCTTCAGTCAAGCAAACAAATGATCCAATCAATAGCCTCTGGACAGAGTCTGCCATAGGGAGGATATCAATAACACGCTAATACACTTGACACACAGACAGACACACACACACACACACACAAACACCAAACACACACAAACACATACATAGGCCATGGCGCTGGAGACCTCGGTGTTCCCCTCCCTCCCGGATTCTCTTTCGCTCCCTGTGGAGGAGAAGGGGGAAGGGGACGATGTGGAGGTGGCCGCCGACGCCACCGGAGTCTTCAACCTATCGGAGGAGCTGGGCCAAATCGTCACCACGGAGACGCCATCAACCCCTCCGCTGTTAGCCAAGGTCAACAGGTCTTTCCAGGCCAAGTTGGCGGAGCGAAATGCCCAAGCCAATGAGCCCAGGAAGAAGGTCGTGCAGGAGAAGGAGAGGGGACGCTTCGGCTGGGGTGAGTGACTCTGCCTGGAAAAGAAAAGATACATTTACAGGTCTTCCAAGTATTATTTGTCACTGAAAATATGTTAAGTTAAGAAAAGACAAATCCACATTACAGTTTTCAGTGAATCAAGGTTCAAGTGCTACAGCAAACACAATGCAAATAGTACATTGGAGTAAAGGATAATGACAAAAGATTATAGAAAAACACCATTACAGATTAAGACAGAACAGAAACCACACTTGTTATGGATACGATTCATGATGAGGTAAATGTTTCCAGAAAGTTATGTCTTCAGTTGAGTCTTTCGAAAACTTAAGAACGTTTGCTAGTATGTCATTATCGACCCCCTTTGGTTTCTAATTCACTTCTTCAGAGATTGGTAGCTGTTGACGGACTCAAGCGTCTGGATCAACGTCAATCAATGCCCTCTTATTGGACCGTGCTGCAGTGGTGCTTTTCATTAGTTTTCTCCAATAGTACTGCCCTTTGTTTGTTTCAGTTTCTCTCCACTTTGCAATAGTCACTGCTAATTAAGGCATTGGACGCTCATTCTTTTTGTGGGAGGATACCTTCCCCGGATCACAAAACTAAGATGAGCTTCTGATGAGATAAAGCTATAAAGCAGACCTTTGTAGAACATCAAGGGCAGATTTTCAGTTTGGTGTAACTTTCTAAAAGAGCAGTCAAAGGGAAAGGACTTTTCTTTTTTATACAAAAATATCTACATGCAGGAAGTGTTTTTCATAGCAAGGGCAAGGCAAAGAAGGGCAAAACTATCCCTTTAAATCTTAATATGACAACAAATATAGATTAGTTTTGCATCGTTTATGTGTTGTAATATCAGTTGTGATGGGTGACAGTAAAAAGGCCTCCTCCAAATAAAGAACACCATCAGTTCCCTTTGAATAGTAAGGAGAGTCCAAAGTTGTAGCTTTTCGTCTCTGAGTGTTTGATGGTGTTCTCCTGCGTCGTATTTCCTCTCCTTTATTTTCCTCACCTGTCTGTTTTGATTTCTGTTACTCAGCAGGCTGGCTTTCCTCTGAGTAATTCTGTCCCCTGGCACCTTCCTCTGTTTATCTTCAAATCTCTCTTATCTTTTCACTGCAGACAGAGTTGTATCTTCAAACAGTGAAACTGTTTCAGTAATGTAGAAAGGGAACCCTGTGTCCATTTTGAAGTATTGTGAAGGGCTTGAACGGGTTTCTTGGAACATAGGGTTATGAAAGTGAGCACCAAAGCTCACATACATCCAGTACGGCATTGGCTCAGTCAGTAGGGGCTTGGACTGTGAGCCGTAGGGTCGCCGGTTCAAGTCCCCGACCAGACCTAAATATGGAGTGTGGACTGCTACTTGGAGAGGTCCCAGTTCACCTCCTGCCCTGCCGTGGTGCCCTTGAGCAAGGCACCAGACCCCCCTTCCCCCTCACTCCCGGGCGCTGTACAATAGCTGCCCACTGCTCCTAGCACTAGACTCCTGGTACTAGGATGGGTTAAAAGCAGAGAACACATTTCACTGTGTGCTCTGCATGTGTGACCATTAAAGAGGGTTTCATCCCTCCAATTCTATCTATCTATTGCTAACTGCTAACCACATTGTTTCTCCACCAGCCCGGGCTCGGCGTAAGAGACAGCGCTACGTGGAGAAGAACGGTCGCTGTAACGTGTCGCACGGTAACATGCGGGAGACTTACCGCTACCTGACCGACATCTTCACCACGCTGGTGGACCTCAACTGGCGCTCCTCGCTCTTCGTCTTCGTCATGGCCTACGCCGTCACGTGGCTCTTCTTCGGGGCCATCTGGTACCTCATAGCCTATTTAAGGTAAGATATTGGAGACACAGGTTGGAAGAAGCACATTTCAATTGTTATTTTTTTATCCTGAGCCATCGAGGAGTATTTAGAATGTCTTTCTAGTTAATCAAAAGTCATATAGCTCAAAATTACAAAAGTATTTGCTTGACTTTAACATTTGAATTAAAAAAAATGTATGACCAAAAACAGGGCTTTCCTTATCTCAGTTCTTTCTGCTTTTCTCCTCTTCCTCCTGCTTGTTACCTCAATGAATAGTTTGACATTTTATTTGCCTTTTTGCTTCCTATCCAAGAGTTAGAAAATACCACTCTAAGTAGGAAAGATACATATGTAGCTACAGCCAGGTAATTATCAGTCTAGCTTTATTTCATTCAAAAAACTAATTGTTAAATGAATGATTGATGAGTTTTCATTTTTGAATTTCAGTCGTGCTTGTAGTAAGACTATTTTGCAGACACAGGCTTGCCGTTTCTAGTCTTCATGCTAAGCTAAGCTAACGTCTCCTAGATGTAGCTTGATACCTAATGAATGGATATAATCTTTTCATCAAACTCTCGTCAAGAAAGCAAATATTTAATGACATTCCACAAAATGTCCTTTAATGCAATTATCATGAGGCAACACTCCCTTTTTAATTGTTGAAAGATGGAGGGTGATGCTGAGAGAGTGATCAGTATAGCAAGATATTCTGCAACGCAGGCAAAAAACCCCCCATTTTTCAGCCAAAACTCAGATGACAAAGCAGTATTAATATTACAGTGTATTTCATCATGTGTTACCTCCTCCCTAGATGTGTCTGCTGGATCCTCGCTCTAATTAGCTAACGTATCCGTCTCGTAAAATCACGACCTCCTCATATCAATTACAGGCCACCTTAAGCCGTGCCAGAGAGCTGTCGCTGTTACTGCTATTCCTCGGTCACCAACACAGGTCAATACAAGTCGTATTTTATATAAATTCCCTAACACCACTTTCATTAATGAGCCCTCCCTCTCTGGCTGGAGCTGTGTTAATAAAACACATTAGCGAGTAGTTTGAGAGCAAATCTGCAGACTCTCGATGGCTCAGGAGTGATAAACCAGCAGAGGGAAGATGCTGCGTGTCATGAAATATGATATGATATATGATGGAAGAATTAGGCTTTTGCAGCATCAACAAAAAGTGACAGCGTAAAAGTCTAGTTAATATGAGGATGAGTCCTTATTCATTACAGGAAGGAGCTGAAAGGTGATGAGAGACAAGTCGTCATATTTCTGCAATTCTGTTCTAAAAATATAAATCTTCTCGCTCTCTATTTGTTACCTCTTGACACCCACTTTGTCACCCTCCCCACTTCCCTTCTCTCACTATCCTCTCAAAGGGGGGATCTGGACCATCTGGAGGATGATACGTGGACGCCGTGCGTCCACAACGTCAACAGCTTCATCTCCGCCTTCCTCTTCTCCATCGAGACGGAGACCACCATCGGATACGGCCACCGTGTCATCACAGACAAGTGTCCAGTCGGCACCATGCTGCTGCTGCTGCAGGCCATCCTGGGGTCCATGGTCAACGCCTTCATGGTGAGCCAGAGAGGGACAGCATGGACAGAAAGGATTATCAATGAGTAGCAAATATTATCAGATTGTTTCAAGTTTCAAGGCTTTTATTGTCATAGCTACAGTGTAGTTATGACAAGGAACATCTTGGGTCACAGGCTCCTCCAACAGTGCAACACAATAAAACAGATAAAATAGTACAAGTAAATAAATTGGGATTATTTTGAAGGTTTTATGCATTGTGATAAATATTAAAGATGATTATTGTGTTCATTTAAGGAAAATACGATGTTATCTCCCTTGTACATTTTACTCAGGTATTAGGTATTAGACTTTACGTATATCTAGAATTTCACTTAGAGAGGAACTTCTTAATCAAATGTTTAATATTTTGTTATAAACCTAAAATGACAGGGCATGATCTTTAAAAACATGTCTTTGCCATACTGATACTGAGCTTTTCGCTGACCCTAGTGAGGACTGATCTAATACTTATGTATGTCTAACACATCGCCTGCTTTAACACAGATTAAAGGAAACTAAAAAGCGTTCAAATCACATTTTAGATTCTTAGTTCAATGTTCAAATGATAAAATGTCATTTGGGAAAAACCCACCTTTCTGAAATGCCTGGTAATAAGATAAAACAAATTATAAAACGGTTTGATCAGAGTCTGTTTGATTCGAGGGAGGCCTCCTGTTAGTTCATGCAGACAAAATGACATCAATTGGGTGCAGATGGTGGGCCTCCTGATAACGAATATTTACTTGGAAAGTGCTGACAGAGCTCCATGTTTTCCAAGTAGTAAGCACTCTTTTGATGAGGATGAATCCACACACAGAATCATGTTTATGCAGGCTTGCAATCTGGAAAGATGCCATATTAGCACTGAGCTTACTTACTATTCATATTAAAAAATATTGATTCTGAGGTTAATTCAAGAGTCACTACTCTCTTTGAACGCTGAGAACTGGAAATAGTCAGCTCTTTTTTAAAATATGGACGAGCGTTTGTAATCAGCACTCATTTTGTCTGTTATTTTTGGAAAAACAAGGGATGCCTTTGTTTCTACAGTACAATAATCCTCAGTCGTTCTTCCAGTTGTTTGAGTGTATTGCCTCCCCCTCCTCCTCTCTGTGCAGGTGGGCTGTATGTTTGTGAAGATCTCGCAGCCCAACAAGCGAGCGGAGACTCTGGTGTTCTCCAAACACGCCGTCATCTCTCTGAGAGACGACAAGCTCTGCCTGATGTTCAGGGTGGGCGACCTGCGCAGCTCTCACATCGTAGGGGCCAACATGAGGGCCAAACTCATCAAGTCCAAACAGACCCAGGAGGGTGAGGCTGCAAGAGAATTAACTTTAATAAAGTCACATTTACTCGCTACTAATAAGGGCTGTAATGACAGTTTAACGCTATATTTATATTCAAATCAAAGTCAACTTTATTGTCATCTTTCAGTTTGTGTGTACAGACAGAGAGATCGAAATACCGTTTCCCACAATCCCAAATACAAAAATACAAATATATGTAAAAATATGTATATCCATATAAACACAATCAATACATATGCACACATTAAGACATAAATAAAAGCACAACAATCAATATATACAAAATAACAGTCACTTCAATATCTTTGGGATATATATATTGTTGAAATTCTCATTCCTAATCTATATGTTTTCACTTGGTTCTTCTGTAAAGTTGTAGATACAGTTTAGCCTACTCCTATATTATCATTGTCCTGTTTTACAATATTTCTTTAATTAGTGTTGGCTATGAGGATTGTTTCTGACTTAGTGATGTACACATTTCTAAACTAACTCCATAGTGTTTAAATGTATTGAAAAGAAAAAAGGTGTAGTTCTCACCCAAACTTAAAACATGTGACACTATATTTTACATTTTGACCTCAAGAATTGATCTGCTTTATTCCATATTTACAGGCTTCTCAGAAACAACATTTTCACTGTGGTAAAAAAAAACTGAGTCAACCGAGTATCAACCTGCGACATCAATTACATTTATATTCCAAAAGTGACTTTTTTACAAGGATGATAATGTCACCAAAGTAGATGAAAGGCCATCAAAGCTTCATTTAAAAACCTTAATAAAAGCTTTGAGTGCAAAATGATATAGATTACTATGACTACTACAAAAGCTAATGCTACTTCTGACAATGCAACGTGTGAAACTACTATCTAATTATACAACTCTTAAAAAGATATGTGTACTTCCTTTTGAGTGCATTTCAAAATCATAATTATTCCCCTTTCACCTAAGCAGATTTGATATTAACCGGCTTTTTGATGATCCAGATTTAGAGAGCTGCCTGTGGTTATGCTGATCTTAACTTATTTATAAAGAGAGAAACTCTAATATCTTCCTTTCCTTCTCCTCACCTCCGGTTGTCTCGTCTCCTCCAGGTGAGTTCATCCCTCTGGACCAGACGGACATCAGCGTGGGCTTTGAGACGGGCGATGATCGTCTCTTCCTGGTCTCTCCGCTGGTCATCTCCCATGAGATCGACTCAAATTCCCCGTTCTGGGACATGTCTCAGTCCCAGCTGCAGAAGGAGGACTTCGAGATCGTGGTCATCCTGGAGGGAATGGTGGAGGCTACCGGTGAGGAATGGGATACAAATAGTTATGAAGTAATAGGAACGCAAACAGCATAATCCATCTGTCCTTGGGTCAACCATTTTCCCTTAAAGGGGACCTGTCATGCAAAATGCACTTTTGTATGTCTTTTATACATGAACATGTGTCCCCGGTGTGTCAGGGAACTCACTAAGTGTCAGAAAACACAACCCTCTCTCTTTTCCTCCATACCCAAATCTCTAAAAACGGGGCTGCAACAGATCTGATACAGACTGATCCAGATTTGAAATAGTTCTGACGTCAGAAACAAGGAGCTCCGCCTATATGGGCAACTCTCCACCTATCAGGGGAATGAGAGGTTGCGTGGCATGGTAACAGCATGGTAACAGCATGGTAACATGACGCTCGTGCCTCGCCCCCCTCCTTTGCAGGGGGGCGTGGTCAGCTGCAGCTCATTTGCCACAGAATCAGCCCTTGCAAAAACAGGGCTGGAATACAGCAAATAGAGCGAAATGAGGCATGGCTGAAATGCATGATCTGTTTGGTATTTTGAAAAAAAAACTTCACAGACATGTTTTATATAGGTATGGCCCTACAATATATGTTTCAAATATAGCATGATAGGTCCACTTTAAAGGGGCCATATTCTGCTCATTTTCAGGTTCATATTTGTACTTTGTGTCTCTGCTGGGACATGTCTCCTTGCTCTAATGTTCACAAAGCTCTTTATTGTTCTCATACTGCCTGTGCTGCAGCACCTCTTTTCACCCTCTGTCTGAAACCAGAGCCCAGTCTGCTCTGATTGGTTAGCTGGCCGGCTCTGTTGTGATTGGTCAACCGCTTACAAATGTCCCGCCTCTTAGCCTATCACTTACAATTAGTTGGAGTGCAAGCCAAAAGAAGCGAGAGTGTTACATAGTGATGTCACTGTGTTACTGAAGTAAACAAAGGAAAATGAAAATGAGGTAAACAGAAAAATTTCGTTGTAAAAATGACGATGTAAATGAACACTAAAAATAGTAGAACAAATAATACATTGAGCTGATAATGATATAGGGACAATCCATATAACTATTACCATGAACCCTTTTTTGTATCACTCATGGGTTTAATATGAGTGTTAGATAATTAAAATATAATATCATATTCTAAATTACAAATAGCATTGTTATGTAGGGGAAATAATGTTAAATGCAATTTAATATAACTGTTCAATTGTAACAGCCTCTTTGTTCTAAATGCATGTTCGGCTGCGACAACAAGTATAGAGCATTAGGGAATTCATCTTGTAGATGCAGCTGTCTGATGTGACTGTACCACCATCACTGTTTTACAGAAAGCAAACCCCGTCCAAAGCTGTCCATTAGAACAATGAAATGACCCCTTCCAGGATGTCTGAGTTTAGATCAAAAGAAACGTCTTTTTAAAACCTCTATATGTCTCTTCAGGCTTTCGGGAAGCTTGAGAGCCTGATGTTGTTGGGGAATATACTTATACATATGTTTAGATAATGGTATATGTGATTACGTTATATTAAAGGAAATAAAACTGGATAGTAATCACTCGAGCAAGCGTTCTCCTGTGGTGTATTGTTCTGTTCTCATACTGTATTTTCCCATCACTCATCCCATTTAAAATCTCTGTGTAAGGAGGAGATTAAAAAGTGTTACAGCCAGAGGAACTATCCACATCCCAACACCAGCGAGTGTGCGAGTGTGTGTGTGTGTGTGTCACAGTAAATACTCATCTGCCCCTGAGCAAGACACTGACCCCCTTTTGAACCATCTCACTGTTAGTCACACTTTGTTTTGGATTCAAACACATCTCAGTTTTCATTACTAAAGCTCCAAACACCCCACAGGCTATAGAGTTGTTTTAAAAGACAATTTATTAAAACTTTAAGGAGGTCTGGATTCAAAGAATATTGATTGGGAAAATCATTTACCGCAGCTGGGCTACGAGTTATCTCTGCTCATAGATCTCGTCAACGATTACACATTCAAAAGCAGAGATACAGAGGGCTGAAACTATCAATTTATTATGGCGATTATCTTCTATCAATTTTACAAATTACTGAACACAGTAAACATTGTCCATCCCGTTAATCAAAGACCCTCGCTTTTGAGGGCTGAAACTTAATTTATACAAGATTAGTCTCACTTTTAATCACACATTATTACATGGTAAGACTTACAACTTAAATGTTGACTGCTGTCCCCTGCATATTTTCCTAAAACCTGAGGTCATTTCATACAGTATATCATTTGGTAATGGAAAATGATACAGTAAAGTACACTGAACAAAAATATAAATGCAACATTTTTGTTTTTGCTCACATTTTTCATGAGATGAACTCAAAGATCTAAAACATTTTCTATATACACAAAATAACCATTTCTCTCAAATATTGTTCACAAATTTGAAAACATCTGTGATAGTGAGCACTTCTCCTTTGCCGAGATAATCCATCCCACCTCACAGGTGTGGCATATCAAGATGCTAATTAGACAGCATGATTATTGCACAGGTGTGCCTTAGGCTGGCCACAATAAAAGGCCACTCTGAAACGTGCAGTTTTGCTTTATTGGGGGGGTCTGGGGGGGTCCGAAAACCAGTCAGTATCTGGTGTGACCGCCATTTGCCTCACGCAGTGCAACACATCTCCTTCGCATAGAGTTGATCAGGTTGTTGATTGTGGCCTGTGGAATGTTGGTCCACTCCTCTTCAATGGCTGCGCCAAGTTGCTGGATATTGGCAGGAACTGGAACACGCTGTCGTATACGCCGATCCAGAGCATCCCAAACATGCTCAATGGGTGACATGTCCGGTGAGTATGCTGGCCATGCAAGAACTGGGATGTTTTCAGCCTCCAGGAATTGTGTACAGATCCTTGCAACATGGGGCCGTGCATTATCATGCTGCAACATGAGGTGATGGTCGTGGATGAATGGCACAACAATGGGCCTCAGGATCTCGTCACGGTATCTCTGTGCATTCACAATGCCATCAATAAAATGCACCTGTGTTCGTCGTCCATGACATACGCCTGCCCATACCATAACCCCACCACCACCATGGGCCACTCGATTCACAACATTGACATCAGAAAACCGCTCACCCACACGACGCCACACACGCTGTCTGCCATCTGCCCTGAACAGTGAAAACCGGGATTCATCCGTGAAGAGAACACCTCTCCAACGTGCCAGACGCCATCGAATGTGAGCGTTTGCCCACTCAAGTCGGTTACGACGACGAACCGGAGTCAGGTCGAGACCCCGATGCGGACGACGAGCATGCAGATGAGCTTCCCTGAGACGGTTTCTGACAGCAGAAATTCTTTGGTTATGCAAACCGATTGTTGCAGCAGCTGTCCGAGTGGCTGGTCTCAGGCGATCTTGGAGGTGAACATGCTGCGGATGTGGAGGTCCTGGGCTGGTGTGGTTACACATGGTCTGCGGTTGTGAGGCCGGTTGGATGTACTGCCAAATTCTCTGAAACGCCTTTGGAGACGGCTTATGGTAGAGAAATGAACATTCAATTCACGGGCAACAGCTCTGGTGGACATTCCTGCTGTCAGCATGCCAATTGCACGCTCCCTCAAAACTTGCGACATCTGTGGCATTGTGCTGTGTGATAAAACTGAACATTTCAGAGTGGCTTTTTATTGTGGCCAGCCTAAGGCACACCTGTGCAATAATCATGCTGTCTAATCAGCATCTTGATATGCCACACCTGTGAGGTGGGATGGATTATCTCGGCAAAGGAGAAGTGCTCACTATCACAGATTTTTTCAGATTTGTGAACAATATTTGAGAGAAATGGTTATTTTGTGTATATAGAAACAATTTTAGATCTTTGAGTTCATCTCATGAAAAATGGGAGCAAAAACAAAAGTGTTGCATTTATATTTTTGTTCAGTGTATTTTATATGATGTGGAAAAAACTGTACAATTGAACGACTTTGGTATACAAGAGCTACAACAGTGTATAACCGAGAAAAGAGCACATCTCCTCTTTTATCATTCAGAAAAGCCCCCACTTCTCCCATCACAAAGAGACCTTAACAAACAGTAGGAAAAACAAAACTGGAGCTTCAGGAGTCCCTTAAAGTAGCCTAAAATACATATTGACTAATGAATGACAAATGTCGAAATTGAAAACAGAAAGAAGAAATAGGTTAAGAGTAGTTGGCATAGTTACGTACCAAAGTCTTCTATTCAAAAAGTGACTGAACTATTTATTATGACGATTATCTTCTACCAATTTTACAAATGACTGAACACAGTAAACAATGTCCATCCCGTTAATCAAAGATCCTCGCTTTGACAGTCCAACACTTTAAGATAAAAATACAGGGACAGCAAGAAAAGTCAATATTTAAGAGCAGCATTTTCTGGCGTTTTTGCACGAAAATGTTCTTTCTTTTATTAATCAATAATAAAAAAGATGTTACTTTTCTCTATCAGCTAACCAAGTTGTTGGCTAATCATTGCAGCTCTAGAGTTTAACGCCTCTGTTATATTTATGATTGTATTTCATGTTGTTGGATAGTGACAAACGACAACTATAAACAGAGTCTGTCAGAAACAAATCAGGAAGTTACAATGGAAGATTTAGATGGCCTGTGTTTATCTCTTTTTATAGTTTCCCGTTCTCATATTGTCTTATGTCCAATTCATTCTGAGACCTAACTGTTCCTCACTTTTTGGCAGGAACAGCCAAAGCTATTCATAATGCTTCTTCCACGAGGTAGAGTCTCTGCCTACTCCAAATATTGATTATCTGAGTCAGAGTGCGGCGCAGAGTAACAAAGCCGACACTATAGAATATTCATATTGAGATTAAATGAATGATCTCTTGGTGTGTTTGACTTTGACTTTCTGCTCTGAGTGTTGCCCTGTTCCTTCATCGTATGCAACACAAGGGTCTGAATGAGTCATAAGCATTAGTGAATGTATGTACTCATCAGTATGCTGGTCTCTGTGCAGGCATGACGTGCCAGGCGAGGAGCTCCTACCTAGCGGACGAGGTGATGTGGGGTCACAGGTTCAGCCCCATGATGCTGCTGGCAGAGGGCTTCTTCGACATCGACTACGGAGCCTTTCATCACACCTTTGAGGTAAAGTCTTTCAAAACTGGGGACAAACTACGGGAGGGTTTATCAAAACTTTAAGAGGTCTAGTTCATTGATTGTAAAAATCAATAACAGCAGCTGGGCTACGAGTTCTTTCATACATACCGTTAGAGTTTACATTTTGAGAAGCATGTGAATTAAGTCTGCAATTAACCATTATTTTCATTATTTATTTACCTGCTGGATATCTTCTACATTAACCGATTTAAGTTATCAAAATGACAGAAAACAGTCAAAAATGTCCATCTCAAGTCCAAGGTGATGTCTTTAAATGTCTTGCTTTGTTATTCCAAAACCCAAATATATAATCTCACATAGAAAGCAAGACAAGTACATTTTTAAGAGCAGCATTTTCTGGCCGTTTTGCACGAAAATGTACTTTTCTATCAACTAACCAAGTTGTTGACTAATCATTACAGCTCTAGAGTGTAACGCCTCTAGATGATTGTATTTAATGTCGTTGGATAGTGAAGTGCCCTACTGTCTAAGAACGACAACTATGAACAGAGTCTGTCAAGGAGATTTTTCAACATCCTTTTTAAGAATTAAAGTTGTTTTTTTTATATGCACAAAAGCTACAATGAATGATTGGCTCTTCTAAAGTCCAGGAAGTAGGAAGTAAAGTAGCGCAAGTGATACAATGGTGCTAGTAAAATGCAGGAATGAGTAAGCTACGTACATATAAGATTGTATAAGATCAAATACTTAGTAAGTCAAGTCAAAATCCTCCTTCAACACTTGTTTGCTGTTAAAAAAAGCAATGCCTGATATTTTCATGTAGGATAGTGTCGTCACATTGGATTTTGTAGCTAAAATGGCTTCCAATTTTTTTTCAAACAAATGTTCCATACTTTTAAAACATTTTCTCAGAAAACGCAATCGTTATTCTACAACCACAAGTTTTTCAGTAAGAAAACCTGGAACAAGTGGAGCTGTTATCCCTATTCCTGTCTCCACCTACATGTAGTGTATAACCGACAGCTAAATTCTCACTCTTGTTCACTTGAGGTTGATGAAATGCATGCTGGGAAATGCAGGAAGTCGAACTGAAGCATTTATTTTGGTAGGGACAAGCACAGCATGGACCAACGCCACACAGCAGAGCTTTTATAACCTATGCCTATCCAGTTATACAATAAGAAGACACTTAAGCTCCTGATCACACACAACTAAATATTTGATGTCTTACACGCAAACTGAAAACCTCTTTCTACTGCACCTTGTTGTTGGCGTATTGATAGCTAATATACCTGCACGATTCTTGCTATTTGGAGTTTGTCTGTTCATGATTCAATGCACATACAAGTCACTTTGAGTAATAATGTCAGCTAAATAAAAACGAGTGAGTTTATCATTTTACCACTTCCGGTTCCCTCGTCTCAGAGTCAACGGGTTTTTGGAACATGTTTTTGGAAAATAGCTAGAAATAAGGTCTGTGGTTGACACACATTTAAGAGACGGATCATGTTTTGTTCTACGACATTAAATACATCAGCAGTGACCCCACTGGTGATTCTTGAAGAGTTTACGTGTCTGAAAAACGATGGTTGTTAACAAGTGGCTGAATAGGACTACAGGAGTTGTCGAGGACGTTGTACGTCATTACACCGAACACGTAAACACTCCCGCTAAGTTAGTTTGCCCTGTTCTGCTTGAAAGCAAGTACCTGCCTCCTGCACACTGTTAAAACAAACGCTTCAACTTGTACACTTTTGAATCTGTATTTTTGAATATCGATCTTAAGTTGGCGTGACGTTGAATTCTTGCAACCCTGCTGTATTCGGCTGTAGTTAGTTTATAGCATAACGTTAGCATTTTGCTTCTGGCGATTCGATTTATGATTCAAAAACTATAAAAGTTGGGGAGACATGTGGAGATTATCCGGCTGAACAAAAAGTGCATTTATCATACAGGTTCGTTTTCCACAGATCTAATTTTTTACCATATTCCAAAACCCTTTTTTTGTCGAGGGAACCCATGCGCAGCTTACTTCCGGGTCGGCCTACAAAAATACTTCATCACTGAAATCTAACTGGGGATGAGGCTTTCTCTTGCCATAGTTGCAATACTAATATCTTCATCCCCTCTCCTAAGGTGACCACGCCCTCCTGCTCGGCACGAGATATCTCATTGGCTGCAGCCAGACTGGACGCTCACCTGTACTGGTCCATCTCCAGCAGGCTGGACGAGGAGCCAACGCTGACCAATGAGGCGTCCAGGCAGCCGGACAGCGTCTCGGCCAATAGCAAAGCAGGAGAGCCCATCTTCATCGTGGGGGAGATGACGGACATCCAGGAGCAAACGGGACAGGGCGAGCTGAACGGCAGCGTCGCCACCGTCCAATCAGAATCAGAGGCCTAGAATAGACAATGTTTACAAAGACCTGAAGTATATCACCACCTCACCACTTTTAGTGTTTGCAAATCTTTTCTCTCCAGGCGAATGAGTAGTTTCATTAGGCCTAGTTCTATGGTATATGCCATATCTTATGTTACCATATGAAGGAGTTTCTTTCTTGATATTCTTTTGTCTTTTATTTCTATGTTGATCTTTGTTACAAGTGTACTATATGTGTGCTATCTTTTTTTTTCTCCGATTTGTTGTGTTAGATCACCCTTGCCTATATCTACATTTAAATGACAATACTATGCTTTAGGTAGGGTCAACAACAGTATAACGTGTGGACCATGGCAGAATGTGGAACAAGATAAGAAGGGGGTTGTTTGTGCAGAGTCACGAAAGTGGATTGTTCACATTTAAAATAGGTACGGTGCATAGACGCTTTAATTTCACCTGTGCATGAATATCACTAGAAGGATAGACTGAAATTGTTGTAACCTCAAATCTCTTTAGAAATGCAAAGATGGTTAGAAAATGTATTGTACATCAATCAGGTGTTACAGGGTGGGAAAGTAACACCAGCCCACCACTTACATTTGGCCCCAAACCCTCTTGTGGTGCTAGAAAAAGTTTAAAATATCTATTTGGCTGACAAAAGATTATAAAAGTGGCCAGACAACAAAGCTGGTTTCCTTCCCTGGGTGTAAACAAGTTATTGTCTTATATAGGCCCAGAGTATTATGTTATTTGTTCTTAAAGAAATACTTCACCCCAAAAAATATAATTTTTACATCAATTATTCACCCAAAAGGAAACCGTTTTCTCACATGCCTATATGGTGAACGAAGGATCCAAAATGTATGATAAATTGAGGTCTCTCAAACAACATATGCAGTTTAATCTAAGTTTAATTGATTCAGTCGTATGCTCACTTCTTCCTAAACACATGCATTTCACTAAAACCGTAAACAAATTTAGCGCAGACATGCAACTTCTAAAGTGTTTCAAATATAACGATTTTAGTGAAAATGCTGGGAATGTTTGGGAAAAAGTGTAGTGTACGACTGAACAAATCAACTCTACAGGTTGTGTGAGTTTATTAACAAATGTTCAGATAATGTTATTTAACGCAGAACAAATTCGATTCAATTCATTGAGATTTTTCTCTCCGTTTTTGGATTCTTTATATTGGTAGTTAATTGATACACAAATGATCTCTTTTGGGATGAAGCGTTCAATTATCACCAGGCTGATTAACCACTAAAAATGCCCAACAGCGATGTCACTGAGTCCTGGAGTACACCTGTACTTCACAGCAGTACGGTGAGAAATTAAAATACTGGGAAAAACAGATTTAAGTTACTATTTAATGACATTTGCTGACTTTCCTATCTGCACTCTCCCATCATGGTGACTAGGGGTATCTATCTAAAACCAGGTGAACACTCAGAGTGTCTGTGGCTTCGTTTCATATACGGCGTGTGTAGCACAAGGATTATCTGTGTTCTGTTCCCAGCCAAGTAGAAATTAAAAAGCACAACAGTGTCCTGCTCAGTCCGGCCCAAACTCCTGCTTCTGCTGCTGTGTATATATGTGGCCATTTTTACTTCGTGTTTTTAATATGTAATATAACATATGAATTATAATTAATAAACTGCAGTATATTCCAGAAACAACTGTCCCACGTGTGTCATTTTCTGAGATTGCATGTTCAGAAAAGAAAACGGAAGTGTTCCTGAAAATAGGCCTGCACGTAAATTATATCACAAGTGAATGGAGTAGTGGTACTGCAGTGTAACAACATAAAATCAGTGTTGGCATGGAGCCAGGTACATTTAATCATGCACTCTAATAACACTTCACTTGGGTATTTCCTATTTATGCTTCTATAGTTCTACCTCATCACATTTCAGAGGGAAATACACATTTTACTCCACTTCATTTAACTAAAAGCTATATTTACTAGTACCTTAAAACAACTTTGATTAAGATTGAACACACATTATACCAACATCCTATTAGGTGTTGGGTTGCATCTTGTTAAACTACTACTTTAACAGTAGATAGTAGTTAAAATTAGCTTACCATCCATTAAAATTAAGCTGTAATGAAAACATGATATATGATACAAATCGATCTGGCCATTTTCCTGATGGTAATGAATTATATTTACATGCTAGTGCTACTATTGTAAAACACCTGAACACTTCTTATATCTCAGTATGAGTTATATTAAATCAATTATTAGACACTGAGAGGAAACAAACTGATAATTGCAAATATTACTTTTCAATTCTCAAGGAACCTAAAAAAGGTGCATCTCCTATTGAACCTTCAAATAATCTGATGTCATGTTGTACAGTACATATGATAAGTGAAGTGGTGCTGAATTAAGTATTTCGATCATTTAAACAAAACATACAGCAGTTTTGGCCACAAAATGTACTTTTAGTATCAAAACTAGAAGTATTTTTTTCACAAGGGTCAGTGTTGGATATTGTTGGGGAATTATTTCCCCTGCATGTCATCTTTCGCCCTCTGACGCAGATGCCCAGCCTTGAGCAGCCGTTATCTCCCTTAAAGGTGGGGTAGGTAATTTTGGAAAAACCAGCTCGAGTGCGCTAGAATTTGAAAATACAAAACCGGAAAAAATCTGCCACTTCCTTCAGACTTCCTTACAGAGCCCCTCCTCCAACACACACGAACGCGCACATGACCAATGAGGGCACGATATACACTGAACAAAAATATAAACGCTTTTTGCTCCCATTTTTCATGAGATGAACTCAAAGATCTAAAACATTTTGTAAATACACAAAATAACCATTTCTCTCAAATATTGTTCACAAATCTGAAAAAATCTGTGATAGTGAGCACTTCTCCTTTGCCGAGATAATTACATTACATTACATTACATTGCATTTAGCTGACGCTTTTATCCAAAGCGACTTACAATAAGTGCGTTCGTCCAACAAAATACAACTTGAAGAAAACAGAATCATAAAAGTACATCAGGTTTCATAGAGCAAAAACATTTCAAGTGCTACTCAACTGGCTTTAGAAAAGCCAGTCCTTTATTAGTATAAAAGTGCTTCGTTAATAGTTCTATCGCTCGAAGTGGAGTCGAAAGAGATGAGTTTTCAGTTTGCGCCGGAAGATGTGCAAGCTATCTGCCGTCCTGATGTCAATGGGGAGCTCATTCCACCATCTTGGAGCCAGGACAGCAAACCCACGTGTTTTCGCCGTTGGGAACTTGGGTCCCCCTCGCAGCGAGGGCGCAGCGAGTCGTTTGGCTGATGCAGAGCGTAGTGCACGCGCTGGGGTGTACGGTTTAACCATGTCCTGGATGTACGAAGGGCCAGATCCATTCGCAGCATGGTACGCAAGTACCAGTGTCTTGAAGTGGATTCTAGCAGTTACCGGAAGCCAGTGAAGCGAGCGTAGGAGCGGAGTAGTGTGGGAAAATTTAGGAAGGTTGAAGACCAGACGAGCTGCTGCATTCTGGATGAGCTGCAGAGGTCGGATGGCACATGCAGGTAGACCAGCCAGGAGGGAGTTGCAGTAGTCTAGGCGTGAGATGACGAGAGCCTGGACCAGAACCTGCGTCGCTTTCTGTGTCAGCTGGGGACGTATCTTCCTGATGTTGTAAAGCGTGTATCTGCAGCAACGGGTTGTAGCAGCGATGTTTGCAGTGAAGGACAGGTTGTTATCTAGGGTCACACCCAGATTCCTTGCAGTCTGAGTCGGGGAAACAACTGAGGTGCCGATGTTGATTGTTAGGTCAAGAGTGGGACAATCTTTTCCCGGAAGGAAGAGCAGCTCAGTCTTGTCAAGGTTGAGTTTGAGGTGATGAGCAGACATCCACTGAGAGATGTCAGCTAGACAAGCAGAGATGCGTGCAACGACCTGGGTCTCTGAGCGGGGAAAGGACAGAATTAATTGGGTGTCGTCAGCGTAGCAGTGGTAAGAAAAACCATGCGGGCTAATGACTGATCCGAGCGAGTTTGTGTACAGGGAGAAGAGGAGGGGACCAAGAACAGAGCCCAGAGGGACCCCTGTAGTTAATTGACAAGGGTCGGACTCAGACCCTCTCCAAGTAACCCTGTAGGTACGGTCTTTGAGGTATGAGGTGAGGAGGGAAAGTGCAGAGCCTGAAACTCCATGTTTTTGGAGAGTGCGAAGGAGGATCTGATGATTCACCCTGTCGAATGCAGCAGACAGGTCCAACAAGATGATGACAGAGGAGAGGGATGCCGTTTTGGCAGTGTGCAGTTCCTCCGTGACAGCAATGAGAGCAGTTTCTGTGGAGTGACCTGCCTTGAAACCAGACTGGTGCGGATCCAGAAGGTTGTTCTGATGGAGATAACAGGAGAGTTGTTTAAAGACAGCGCGTTCAAGTGATTTAGACAGGAACGGGAGGAGAGAGACAGGCCTGTAGTTTATAACATCAGACGGGTTGAGAGTGGGTTTCTTTAGGAGAGGGTTTACTCTTGCTTCCTTGAGACTGTTTGGAAAGTGACCAGAAGTTAGAGAAGTGTTGATGAAATGGGTGAGAAACGGTAGAATATCAGGAGCGATAGTCTGAAGGAGGTTTGAAGGGATAGGGTCCAGAGGACAGGTGGTAGGGCGGGCAGAGGTAATGAGGGTAAGAACCTCACTTGGAGAGAGAGGGGAAAAGGAGGTTAGGGTGTTGGTGGAAGGAGGGTCTGGTGACCCAGCGGTGAGTAAAGGTGAGTCAGAAAAAGAAGAGCGAATATCATCAACCTTTTTTTCAAAGTGGGTAACAAAGTCGCTTGACAGAAGTGAGGAGGGGGGAGGAGCTTTTGGAGGGTCCAAGAGGGTGGAGAAGATGGAAAATAGTTAATCCATCCCACCTCACAGGTGTGGCATATCAAGATGCTGATTAGACAGCATGATTATTGCACAGGTGTGCTTTAGGCTGGCCACAATAAAAGGCCACTCTGAAACGTGCATTTTTGCTTTATTGGGGGGGGTCTGGGGGGGTCCGAAAACCAGTCAGTATCTGGTGTGACCACCATTTGCCTCACGCAGTGCAACACATCTCCTTCGCATAGAGTTGATCAGGTTGTTGATTGTGGCCTGTGGAATGTTGGTCCGCCGATCCAGAGCATCCCAAAGATGCTCAATGGGTGACATGTCCGGTGAGTATGCTGGCCATGCAAGAACTGGGATGTTTTCAGCCTCCAGGAATTGTGTACAGATCCTTGCAACATGGGGCCGTGCATTTTCATGCTGCAACATGAGGTGATGGTCGTGGATGAATGGCACAACAATGGGCCTCAGGATCTCGTCACGGTATCTCTGTGCATTCACAATGCCATCAATAAAATGCACCTGTGTTCGTCGTCCATAACATACGCCTGCCACACACGCTGTCTGCCATCTGCCCTGAACAGTGAAAACCGGGATTCATCCGTGAAGAGAACACCTCTCCAACGTGCCAGACGCCATCGAATGTAGCATTTGCCCACTCAAGTCGGTTACGACGACGAACCGGAGTCAGGTCGAGACCCCGATGCGGACGACGAGCATGCAGATGAGCTTCCCTGAGACGGTTTCTGACAGTTTGTGCAGAAATTCTTTGGTTATGCAAACCGATTGTTGCAGCAGCTGTCCGAGTGGCTGGTCTCAGACGATCTTGGAGGTGAACATGCTGGATGTGGAGGTCCTGGGCTGGTGTGGTTACACATGGTCTGCGGTTGTGAGGCCGGTTGGATGTACTGCCAAATTCTCTGAAACGCCTTTGGAGACGGCTTATGGTAGAGAAATGAACATTCAATTCACGGGCAACAGCTCTGGTGGGCATTCCTGCTGTCAGCATGCCAATTGCACGCTCCCTCAAAACTTGCGACATCTGTGGCATTGTGCTGTGTGATAAAACTGAACATTTTAGAGTGGCCTTTTATTGTGGCCAGCCTAAGGCACACCTGTGCAATAATCATGCTGTCTAATCAGCATCTTGATATGCCACACCTGTGAGGTGGGATGGATTATCTCGGCAAAGGAGAAGTGCTCACTATCACAGATTTTTTCAGATTTGTGAACAATATTTGAGAGAAATGGTTATTTTGTGTATATAGAAAATATTTTAGATCTTTGAGTTCATCTCATGAAAAATGGGAGCAAAAACAAAAGTGTTGCATTTATATTTTTGTTCAGTGTAAGTTTGTGCACAGATGGAAGGCAGGTAGGCCATCCAGTTATTTTAGCCGGGCCGGCTCAGATGATTGGTCGTGCTTTTTACGGCTTCCACAGATGAATTTTTTTAATGTATTTATTGTCAAAGCATTTAATATATTCATTGCTATCGGGATGTTAAGAGCATTCCATGGAATATAACAAAAAGTGTTTTTGAAATAAATTACATACTCCACCTTTAAGGAGGGGCTGCCCAAGCATTTTGTTGTTGTGACCAGCTTGTGACCGGGCAACTCTCGGTCAGAGATAGTTATTGTTGTGGGACACCTGGAACACATCCTTGTCGGGGTGTAGATGACCCCGAGCCATAAGCGACAACAAATGTGATTCAGTGTCCTCAGCTGTTTAGTCTATCTATTGAAGAATGTTGATTATTACACTCTGAACTAGTTAAAACCTGGAGCTACAGGAGGGGTCTTCAGAATTGATTGTGGCATCTCTACCCTGTGGTTTGACC